ATGATGACCTGATCAATTAATTGATTGATTCATTGACTGATACCTGATCTTTTTCTTTCAGCTCGGTTCGAGTGTTTCCTCAAGTTCAAACACAGAACCACAGAACACAAACCACAAGGTGCACAAAGCAACGGTTCCACCAATGAAACTAAAAGACCCAAATGACATCACAGCCACACAACTTCCTGTCGAAACCGTGAATGAAACCTGACGGAGGTGCAACACTGGAAAAACACCAGCGGTCTGCACCGTACCCACGTGTCCTTGAGCAACGGAGCACTGTATCCCAACCAGCAACCCACAGGCTCTCTGCTGCGAGATTAAACTCTGACCTCCACGACGCGTCTGACAGGCGATTCAGGTGATGACAGTTTTACTAAGAAGAAGAAGAAGAAAGTCCAGTTTTGAAAATCAACGCTGTGATTCATCCTGTTTTTATTAAACCTCGTAAACTATTCTGTTCGGTCTGAAACCACAGACACGCTGACCTCTGACCTCACTGCAACACACACACACACACACACACACACACACACACAGATGGACGAGTCTGAGTGTAAAACATTCCCTGCCTTTGTGTGTGAGAGACAAACAGACTGAGAAAGAGATGTGTGAATGAGTAAAATATGTGTGTGTGTAACAGCCAGAGAAACACAAGATGTGTGTGTTGTCTGTGTGTGTGTGTGTGTCTGTGTGTGTGTGTTGTGTGTCTGTGTGTGGAGGGAAAGAGAGTGTGTGCAGCTGAGAGACAGAACGAGAGCACGAGTGTGTCTGTGCTGAGTGTGTGTGTGTGTGTGTCAGTGTGTGTGTGTGTGTGTGTGTGTGTGGTCTGTGTGTGTGTGTTGTGTGTGTGTGTGTCTGTGTGTGTGTGTGTGTGTGTGTGTGTGTCAGTGTGTGTGTGTGTGTGTGTGTGTGTGTGTCTTCTCGCCCCCCCTCCTTCCACCTCCTCCACTCCCTCGAGGCGTAACTAATTACCCTGTCTGGTCAACCGGGCCGGTGCGAGCTCCGACAGAAGGTCACGGCGGCCACCGGCCGCGAGGGGAAAACGGCTCCCCCACGCGACACATTAACCCCCCCCCCCTCCCCCCTCAGGCACAGTGTGAGGAAGGCGAGGAGGAGGGAGGGAGGGAGGGAGGGAGGAGGAGAGAGAGGGGGGGGGGGTCAATAAAAAAAAAAAAAAAAAAAAAAAAAAAAAGCAGATGCAGATCCGATAACAAGCGATAAATACCGTGAACACAGCATGCAGTCCGACAGAGAGGAGGAGAACACCAGAAGATGGACGGCGCGTGCTGCTGCTACTTACCGGGCCCGCAAGGAGGAGGAGGAGGAGGAGGAGGAGGAGGAAGAGGAAGAGGGTGATGAGGAGAAGAGGAGGAAGGAGATGAGGAGGAAGGAGAAGAAGACCGTCTGGGAATTAGCCCGCCACGGATCATGGCTGGCGGGGAAGGAGACACAGAGAGAGAGGAGAGGAGAGGAGAGGAGGAGTGGGGGGGGGAGAGGAGCACCGGGAGGGGATTTGTCGGTCTGTCGGTACCGAGGAGAGAAGGAGGAGGAGGAGAGGGAGGGAGGAAGGGAGGGGGGTAATGGATAATACACCTGGGCTTGGCACGAGCGAACGTGAGTTGGGGGTGGGGGCGGGAGGGGGAGGGAGGCGAGAGAGAGGGAGAGAGAGGCGTTAAATTAGCCAGGTCGAGGCGAGGAGGAAGCGGCTCTGTGGAGACCCTGCAGGGGCGGAAAAAAAGACGAGCTCGAGGAAAGAAAAAAACACCATGGGAAGAAAGCAGGGGGTGGGGGTGGGGGTGGGGGGCATGAAATAGACGGATTAAGTGGCGGTCGCTCTCGCGACAGAATGGGGGTGGGGGGGGGGGTACACGCGACGTTGATGTGATGCTGGGTAACAGAGAGGGGAGGGGGTGTGTGATTATGTGTCGGCTCGTGCCCTCCGCCGTGTCTCCTGCTGTCGGCGGCGCCCGTGGCGGCGTGCCGTGCGCGCGGTGTGAGTGATGTGATTGGCTGCCTGCAGGTAACCGAGAGAGAGAGAGAGAGAGAGAGAGAGGGAGAGAGACATTAGGAGAGAGAGAGAAAACGACTGAAGTATTTTATGAACACTTTTGTGCAGCGACTCGATGAATCAATTTACTGATCAACAGAAAATTAATCAGCAACTAATGAAAATATATTTTTCGTATTTTTCAAGATATTTTGAAATGTTATCACCATATTTTTTTAGACAAGGTGATTAATAAAGAAAATTAAAGGAACAAATGTTTGACCAGCTGTTAATCTGTAATTACACCTGCTCATTAATATTTATATTATTCACTACACTGCACTGTGGCTGCTTGTAGTGGACAGCAGAAGGTTCCACCTAGATGAATGAGTTTCCCTCCTCTGCTGTTTGTGTTGATGAGCTGATGAACAGCTGATGAACAGCTGATGGAGCTGAGTCCCTGGTTGCTGCCATTAAACCACCACAGAAGAAGAGCTCATTAACGGATCCAGTTAAAGGAGAACATGATGGATGAGTCAGAGTTTATCCACTCAGACTGTTTCTGTCACATTTTATTTCCATTGACTCAAACAAACATGTTGTGACTTTTCTTCTCACTGGTGGATGATTTGTCACATTATTATGTCTTAATCAATGAATAACAATATTGATTGACTTTAGAGCAGTTTGCCAAAAGATTAAATTAAGTTCGTTTTGGAGTTTTTTTTCTTTAAAACTAATTAATTTTTGAACACACGTTGTATTCGAAACAAACTGTGTGAACTCTACGTGTTGTCCTGTAATTGATTATAATTGATTAGTTCCCATGGCGATAACAGCAGAGTGAGGGGGGAGGGGACTCCTCTCATTCAATCCATCAGGTTCAAACGTTCATCCTCAGACATTTGAGGTTCAGATACAGTCACAGGAACCTTAAGTTTCTTTTCTTAGTTTGGTCACTAAGGTCTTCACTGACTTTAAGTGATTCCTTAAGTATAAGATTAAGGAGAAAACCTTAAATACTTTGGTGAACATTTTAGGGAAACCTTAAGGGGAAGACTTAAGGAAAATCTTAACTTAAGCTGTTTTGTGCTATTGGCCTTTGCACAAAGTTTTAAATAACAAAATAAATGTTTCTTATGTATGAATAAATTACCGAGCTCTTCATCCTGCTGATTGTTGTCCTCGCAGACCAGCTGTCCATCACGGCGACCTGCAGAGCGCCCTCAGGTGATGAGAACATCAGTCACCTGTGCAGAGGCTCATCCTCGCCTCACCCTGACTGTCCTCACTGGGGGGGGGGGGGGGGGGAGATCCTTTAGTAAAAGTTGCAATTTAAAAGTCCTGCATTCAAAACCTCATTTAAAAGTACAGCAAAATAAAGTTTCAAAAATAAAAGTCCTGGCTGTGTTACTTTATGAATTTTATATTACTTAATGATTATCACTGATGATTAATGTGTATGCAGCATTTTAATGTTGTAGATAAAGAGTTAGCTTATTCATCTTATTTATTTTATACATGTGTAGTTTAATTTGTAATAAAATGTATTTTCTTTTATAGACAGGAAACTGGTTTTGTATGTAAAATATTAATCTTCAAAGTAACTAGTAACTATAGAGTAAAAAGTTGAATATTATAATGTAGCATTAGATGGAAATACACTTGTTTCTGCTTCAAAAAATGATGAAATCTCGTCATCTAGTGGAGGAAAGTGAGACCTGCATATGCGTTGTTGTGATCACCTGACTCCAGCAAAACCTCCACTGACCCGCTGCTGAGTTTTACTCTCCCCGCCGCTCAGCCCCACTCCAGGCTTTAACACCGAGCTGCCCCTGCTGGGAGGCTAAAGGCTGCAGGTATGTCAGCTCAACGGCCGGGGTTAGATGTTAGCTACAAGTGGCTTCATCCGACAACAGCTTCAGAAACCCGGGAGCTGTGTAGCGATGAGCGATGTAGCCTGTAAGCTAACGTGGAGCCCGGTAACTTCTGCTGAGGATTGAGCAGCTCACTATCCAAATAAACTGTGCCCCTAACCCCAGTGCTAACATGTTAGCTTACAGTAACGCCGATTGGGGCTCAGAAAATAATTAACTGGCTAAACTTATGAGATATGTTGGTTTCATTATTTCGTAAAAACATCAATGTAATGTTGTACACAAACTCACAGTGCTGAAGTCAGTTTCCGATTCGACAGTTCAGGGGACGGTTAAGGGAAACGTACCTGAGCGACTTCTCACTGTTGTGACATTAAACTTCCTGATCAAAATTGTTTTTTAACGTCGTTTGAAACCCGCTTTAAATCCGTGAGAACTTGATTTAAGAAGAAACGGTCGCTCGGTGTCGTACGTTAACTTTCCCCTTAACTGTCGAACCGGATGCTGACTTCAGCGTCGTTCAGTAACAAGCAGCTAGCAACGCCGACTTCTCTGTGTAATTAGCTAACATTAGACATGTAAAGTTAACCGAGCAGCGCGGGTTAGTGGCGGTTCAACCTACTAGTTAACCAAGTTAACTAACAGACCAGCAACACGGACTAAGCTCAACATACATCTTGTACAGTAAATCCAGTTAGCAGTACCTATGCTAGATACAAGCTTTGGCAGCAAAATCAGTGACGTTAGCGTCAGTTATTTAATGTTTATTTGTGAGAAAACGACACAAGCAACGTTAACTACAATCTCATAAGTCATTCATTGCGGGTTATTGATAATACATATTGTAAACTTACGCTCAAATCACAAATAAAATCGCCGGTTTGCTCTCCTGTCGACAGAAGCGTTGGTGGTATAGTGGTTAGCATAGCTGCCTTCCAAGCAGTTGACCCGGGTTCGATTCCCGGCCAACGCAACAAGTTTTTGTGCCGCGAAACAGGGTTTGACCGTTAAAATGGGGTTTAATCGTTTTGTTTTTATTTTTTTATATTTTATTTCGATGTACTACTTAGGAGCAGAAGGTATGAAACACCCTTTTAAACAAATGACAAAAGCATGTTCAATGTAGTGTGTTTCTTTATTTTTTGTTTAAAATTTTTTGTATCTTGGTCGATTGATAATATAACAATCTATTATAATATACTCTTTTTTATTCATTTTTTTTTAGCAAAAATTTCAAATATTTGTTGGCTCTGGTTTTACAGATGTCAGAATATGATTCTTCAACAAAGTAGTACCTGAATATGTATGGGTTGTGGATTGATGGTCAAATAAAACAAACAATTTGAATACATAATCTAAAGGCCATGGACAGTTATTACTGGCATTTTTCACCTTTTTCCATCCTTTTTTTTTTTTATGACAAAGTGAATCATTATGTCAAATAATTAAGATTAAGCTGATCAACTAACGTCTGCTTATATTTGAATTAAAAATATATTTTCAGGACAGAAACTAAAGATTATTTTAATTATCAGTTAATCTGCTATTTCAATTCAGTGTGTTTACTACAGTCTGACATAAGAAAAGAAAAAAACAGAAATTCATCTCATTTGAAATGGGAAAAAGGGAGTTTTGTTTGACAAATCACTGAAATTATTATTTGTTTATCAGAATAGTTGATGATTAATATTCTATCAATAATTTTGTCATACACTTTAATTTCAATTTTATTTCTTTCAGAAATGTACTCTTAAAAATTTTGAAAATAGAGTAGTATAACATTAATGAGGAAAACAACAATAAAATACTGTTTTTTTTTCTGTCATTGCTTTTCCCCACAGCTCCTGGATGAGTCGGCCAAACACCTTGTCTGTGTTTTATGTAGACATGGGCAGGTATTTCCACAGTGAGGTCGACATTAGGAGTCCGTGGCATCAGGTGTTGGCTGCCTTCTGGCAGCGCTACCCCAACCCGTACAGGTAACGGGGGCACTTATTTTCATAACTGATCAATCTGTGAAATATTTTCTGATTAATTGTTTTGCCAGTAAATGACAGGAAGTGGTGAAAAAGCCTGTTATGATATGTCAGCCCAACGTGACATCTATAAATGTCTTGTTTTAATGGCCAACAGTCAAAAGCTCAAGGATCTTCAGTCCAGAATCAGAACATATTTGGCTTTTTTTTCCGTAAAAACTGACAACGATTATTTGGTTTTCAAGATAATGGTTGCAACTGTGCAGGTAACACACATTTGTACCTCTGTACCTGTGAGGACCCTCACTGACATAATGCAATAACTTTTCTCTGTTATGACCCCTTGTCATGAACAATATTAATGATACTAGTAACAAAACGACCCACGTTGAATTTAATTGGAATTGATGTTTCTGGGGTTTTTTTTACGTTTCTCATCAGCTTCTGTTGTGCAAATGAAAAATGTAAGTTTACCTGCCAGAACAAGGTTTTCTTTTCTGCCCTGTCTTCCTTCTAAACTACCTCCCCCAATTTAAGAATCACTGCCCAAGCCCCTAATAATAACCTTACTCTAAACCAAAGTATAACCTCGACCCTGAAAACCTCCTTAACCCTCCGACAGCCCAGTAGAACTTTTCCAAAAATGTCCTTGCATCCCCTAAATGTCCTCAGTTTCTAAAACGTCTTCACTTTCTAAAACGTCGTCATTCTCCAAAATGTCCTCACTTTCTAAAAATGTTCTCACTATTTAAGGATGTTCTCAATTTCCAAAACTGTCTTCACCTCTTAAAGATGTCCTCATTTTCCAAAATGTCCTCACTTTCTTGTCTTTCTGAAAATGTCCTTACAATATAATCAGCCCTCACAAATATAGAAGCACACACAGGTACTAAAGTCACAAATCTGTATGTTTTTACGTATCAGCACTCATGTCCTCACTGAGGATGTCCTGTACCGCGAGGTCACCCCCAGCAACCACCTGTTGTCACGGCGACTGCTGACAAAGACCAACCGGCTGCCGGGCTGGGCGGAGCGTGTCTTCCCCACCCACATGGCCCGGGCCGTCTATGTCCTGGAGGACTCCATTGTGGACCCACAAAGACACACACTCACCACCAAGACCTGGAACCTCAACCACAACACGCTAATGGTGAGACGCCGCGAGTTAGTTACCATGGTTATTTACTGTGCGTGTCCACCTGTCCAGTTCAAAGTTCAAATGACTTTGAGTTAACATATATATTGTAAGAGTTTAAATCTTAATTTTCGGGGGAAGATTGCACCTTCATTAGATAGTGAGATAGAGGTGACAGGAAGTGAGGTTGAGTTGGGGAACAAGCAAGGTCTGTGACCAAGATTGTTCCGGGGACGTTGTGGTCAATTGGCGGCGTCTTGTTGTGGGGACTTCTTGCAACTGTTTGCTGGGTGGTTGGATAGCTTCACCCTCCCCCCGCACCTTTCTGATGTCCGAATTGGGGGGACTGGAACTTTTTGAAGCCGACAGTCCGTCATTGACACCAACGTCCCTTCGCAACTGGCTGCGTAGAGGTGAGAATTGTAAAATCACAATGCTCTCCAATTCCTGCTTCATGGGCTCCTGTTGTCAGGGTATTAGTCACATTAGCTCTTGCAGTCTACACTTACAACCCTGCCCACACCTTTTTGCTTCAGTATGAAAGCGAACTTCCTCCAGACAACCTAACATTACCAGACTGTTGAGTTTGACGAACGCTGCAAACAGACAAAGTACATTTTAGGAATGTTCCCCACCGGAGAACAAGTCATGGCCCGATCTGTTTATACTGTAGACTAACAATATTGAATTCTAACACTTGAAGATTGAATGTCAATGTTTGAACAGTTATATGAATTTCGTCTGACCTGTATTGCACAGTATTTATTGTCTTTGCCTCTCAGACGGTGGTAGAGCGTTGTTCGTTTGAAGAAGACCGTAGTCGGCCTACCTGGACCAAACTCAGGAGGGAGGCCTGGATCTCCTCAGCTGTCTACGGCCTGGCCCGGCCCATACAGGTACACACACACACACACACACACACACACACACACACACACACACACACACATTTGTCTTGCTATACTTGTGAGGACCCTACCCCTAACCATTTCAAACAGTGATGTCCTCAGAATGCAGAGAGGTCCTCAATTCGCTGGTTCAGCAACACGAACCCACAATCACACAGAGGTCTGGATGAAGTCTCTCTGTCTAACTCTTTGTGTTTCTCCACCAGGAGTTTGGTCTCACCAGGTTTAAAAGTAACCAAGCCAAAGCCATGAAGGGGCTGGAGTTCGCTCTGTCCAAGATACAGAGTAAGACACAGACACACACACACACACACACACACACACACACACACACTTGTTGACTTGTGAAGACCTTTCCCAATGGGAAGATTTGTATTACATATTGGTAAAAAATTTTGACTATTGTTTTAAAGATTAAAGATTTTTCTACCAAAGATGGTGGTTGTATGACACATGTCCCGCCCCTCCCGTGAAACAGCCAATCATCTGCTTTATAACAGCCGATATCAAGCCGACCGTGTTGTTGCACTTTCGACAGTTGGTATTTGAAACCTTATACATGAGAAGTGGAAGTAAAACCTGGGGGAAAAAAAGATGTTTTAAAACTTATTTTGGGGCAAAGTCACCAAACCTTTTTTGTTTTTACAAGTGATTCTGTAAACACAGTTTTCATGTCCCGGTGACCATTGAAGGGGAAGTCATGGCTCTCTCTCCATTCATTTAAATAGGGGCCTGGTCTTGTTAGTACGGAATAATAACTGTCCAAGGGTGTGGCCAAGATGGCTGCCGAATGGCGAGACTTGTTTATCAGGACTTTGGCGATGTTCTATGGAGATTTAGTCACTATAGTTGCTTCATGAAGTCAGTTTAGTTTTGGCTGTTGATGAATACATACATCACAATTCTGATGAATGAAATTTACACAAGATAGGTTTGATCTAAATCCAATTATAACGTAAACAGTAAAACCAGAAGAGAATATGCTTGAATTACGGACGGTAAATATGTGAAAACACTGAAATACACCTGATTGTTTTATTACCTGCAGCTGAGGCCCCCCCTAATCTCCATGGAGACCAGGGAGAGTCATCAGAGAAACACAAGCCCCTCCCACCACAAGCCACGGCCACCTCTACCCAGAAGCCCAAGCAGTTCGTATGATTCTGCTGTTGCAATAGAAATCCTGCATCTATTGATTTGAACTGGTACTGCGGGGGTGGGGCATCGCATCAACGTCAGCTGGGATTGGTTGCGTTGTGAAGTCCATCATCAGAGAACAAGTGCAGCTTTAAAGTTTGACTGAAGCGGAGCAGAAAATAATGAATATTAGTTCCTCAGGATTCACTGGGACAGATTAAAACCTTCTTAGTACAAAGGTTTCCCTAAGTTTTGTTTTTTAAAGTTGCTTTTATTTGATTCATTTTGGTTTTTACACCTTTTTCTAGATTATAGTATTAAATTCTATAGTATTTATGTAGAGGTAAACTTTTATGATCTAAGGCTTTGTTATTTAAAAGAAGACAGAAGATAAAGATATTTAGATTCTATTTATAATAAAGAATTCAGTTCTTTCTAGTGTTAGATGTTATAAAGCAAACGGCTCGCATTCCATTATTCGTTATTTTCTGTCTAAGCCATCTATTTTTCACTGTCGTAATTTTTATATTTTTATAAGAACATTGTTCTCAATTCTTGTTTTGAAATATGTTATAATTATTTATATTTTCTAGTCATTTTAATAATTCTAGTGACATTTTTTCGTCATTTTCTTTTCGTCATTCAGCGAAAAATATTGTTTCATTAGGAACTCTTGCCGGCTAAATTTAATTTTATAATAATTAAACCGTCTATTGAGATAATCTTTCTAGTTTTATTTCTTTAACTGAATGTTGCATGAGATCAGCGCTGTAGTCATTTTAGAATCAGATTGTTGTACAGATGCATGTTTCACATTCTCAACATTATCTAAACCAGTTGTCCCTCCATCATCGCCCTCTGGTGGTCAACTCCTGATATTAAATTCTTAATGTTATAATTCTTAAGGTGTCAGCCCTGGTTTATTTGGTGACACTGGTTCAGCTGCTGTATGTGATTCCAGTGGTTTTTCAGGGAACTGCTTATATTCACTTGCAGCTCACAGTCGTGTAGTTCTACAGTTTATTACTTGCAGATATTGTACAAAGTTCTTAGAAACAGGAACCACCAGGGGGTGATAAAGTGAAATAAGATCACCTGAGTTTATTTTGGACTGGTTTCTGCTTCAGGGGCAAACTGGGCCAGTCAGGCCTTGATGGTTTTTCAGATTCAGATCTCGTGTTTGAGCTTCCTTCTCTGACTTTTATCATTTCAACATTCAGTTTATACTGTGAAGAACCACCATCATATTCTCACTGTTCATCAGTCATCACAATAAATCTAAATCTACTTTAAAAGCTGCTGTCATCACTATAAGGTTCTTCATTTAATGTGACACTGTGCAATGTGTTCAAACACATGAACAGCATGTATGTGTGTATTAGACATTATGAAAAAGTAAACATAAAATTATGTAGGAGAAAATAAGATAATCAGGCCGTAATTAAATACTTTAACCTTTTGGTTTTAAATGTCACTTTTCATTTTTAATCATCATTATGATTTCAATATCGTTTCGTTTCAATATCTTTCCTTTTCTCCAGTTATAAATCTGTAATCCTGTGATAAACCAGATACAGTCTCACTTCAGGATGTTTGCAAAACACACTTTATTCTTTGGAAAGTTACTGTGTCATATTTCAGGATTGTGAAAACTTTCATGGACAAAACACGCGGGAGATAAATGTTTATCACAGAGAATAATAATGAAACACTGAACTTGAACACTGAAATAAGAAATGTGACACAGTTCAAAAATAAAACGTAACGTAAACTTTTAAAGTCCTTCAACATGTGGTGACGTTTCCACTGAGATTTCTTTTATTACCGGCTTTACCGGTAAAGTAAATGGCTCTATAATGAGTAATACTCCTGTAACACAAATGTTACTGTAACAGAGAGTGTTGTTATTGTTGGCTGCAATTCATTTGAAACGAAGACATTAACTTGCAAGATGCTAACTTTTACAAACAGGATGTTAACTTATGAGTTCCAAGATACTAACGTGGCACATTATTATTATATTCCACGTCAGAACGAGCTCTTTAAGCCCTTATACAAATGTCATAAAAATAGGTTTGTTTCCAAAATGTCTAAAGTTCTTGTCTTTAAACAAAAAACTTAAGCTCTTTGGAAGAACCGGTCAGCAAACAGACTCTTGGTATCATGCTAAAGCTAGCTCCTGCTAACTGGTGTCCATTTCTCAAAATCATGACACCTTAGAGAACTGCTCAGATGAAAACATTTCTTTAAACCCATGATTCACCAGTATAATGTTTTTTCATGATCTCACTTTCTGCTAAATGGTAAAATGTTTCAGCTTCTTGGATTAATTATTTTTTTCTTCTAAACTCATACAGCTCATTAACAACACATTGTCTTCTCAACATAAACAGTAAGAGTAAATGTCAGTGACAAAAACTTGTTCTTCATTAATCTTCATTAATGTAACATGAGAACAATGATGTCATATAAATGCCACATGATGTCATAGAAATCCCAATTTGAATATGACACATTTAAAACATAACAAATACTTTTAAGGCTTTTCAACATGTAGCAAAGTTTCCATTAATGTTCCCTGAGTTTAAGGTGAAGGTATTAATACTGCCACAGTAAAGTGAAGGATATAATCATTAATAACCGTTGTGCATCCCTATGGACATTTTTGTCCTTTTCATTTTTGATGTTTTGGTCATTTTGGCTGCGTTATTGGCATTTCAACCTCAGCTCCTGTAATACATCTAAAATACACACAACAGATCCACTTAGGACCTTAATAAGGCAGCACAATCAGTGTTGTTGCTAACCACTGAAGCCTTGAAGGGTGTCCCCTGATTTCAAGTCAACCCTCACCTAAAAAACCCTTGTAAAATAATGGTACATTCCAGAAGTGACATCATTTACAGGAAGTTGCTTCATCTTTCAAGTTTGTTTAACACATACATCAAAATAATATTTGAATTCTAATGATGTAATCAATATCTAACCCTAAACCTACTTCAGACATCAGCTCCTTCAGCTCTGCTGCCCTGCTCGTAACTCACAGCTTCACTTTATTTTTGAATGGAAACTGTAATTTAGGAGATTCAAAGCTGAACTCACTTGTTTTTTTAGAGCTGTCTGTTTCAGCTCGGTAAAACATCTATCTTAATACTTTTACTCTTGAAGCCTTTCATGGCGAACCAACGCGCTCTGGCGATCACATCATTGGCGAAGTCGTTGCATGGCGTCGCACTGTCCACGTCCTCATGATCCTTCAAATTAAGGACGGTCTCCTCACCTGCGATGTAACAAGCCAACGCTCCTGAAACACAGTGAAGCAAATGCTCAGATACATGAAGACACAAACATGTGAGGTTCCATTTTAAAGGAGACGTCCCTCATATCTCCACGTAGTACAACAGGAAGTCCCAGAACACCTTTCATCAACTTCGGCAAACACAAACACTGCGACGAAACTAAAAGGAAAAGTTCAACATTTCAACACATTGCTGGGGAGAGGGACGTCTGGACTACTTTGTTTGATCTGCTGCATCATGATCTGACCCCAGATAAGCGAACAGATGGAGATCTGCAGGTTATGTATCAGACCATTTCTTGACCAGGGCCGGTAACTTCCTGTGGTCTCCGTGCTTGCTTGTCTGAACTTGGCCAAGAAATAATCCGTTACACAACAAGATAAAACGAAAAGGTTGTAGCTTGTTAGTCCGTGAACTTGTGTATCTGGAGCATTAAACAGTACCTCCACTAGGGGGCAGAGTAGAGCTCCAGCTTGAGTTTCCTCATTAATTGTGTTTGTTAAATGTGTGAAACCCAGGCTGTAAGAAATGTCATTTTCTTCTAAAGGTTATCTGAACAAGTGTGTAATTTAAGTTTAACAGCTGTGTAAAAATGCACAAACTCTTACTGTTTGATTCTCGCAGAGTTAAAGTTAAGTAAAGTAAAGTTTGCGATTGGTCTAATTGCTTTGAAAAGCGCAAAGTGTGGAAAGGAGGCAGGAGGCGTCCATGTTTTTACCCTTCAGGTGCTGTTGTGTGGTCCAGTTCTTCCTCTCCTTCTGCATGATCTGAAGGAGCCTGGCGATGATTCTGGCTCCTTGTTCCACATGTTCCTTGCTGAACGGGCCGCCTTCCAGACGGTTGTAAAGCTTATGGATCTGCAGGACACACACACTGTCAGCTCAGGAAGTCCTCAATCCAACATGCAACCACGAACCACGTGACCTAACATGATGTTTAAGATAAATGACGAAGCACAGCACATCTTTAGATTAAAATCAAATCCAGCTTGTGGATGAAAGCAGACGAGTCGCCATCACTGTGGCGACGCCTCGCTTGTAAACCTGCAGATAACGCTGATGCTTTATCCAAGAAGTCTGTCACACCTGCATGAGACCGAAGCAGTTTGAGTCGTACAGTCCGAAGCCGTTTTGATCCAGCTTGGTTCCGGCCTGAGACTGTCTGCAGATGATGCCAGCGAGCAGGGAGGGGGGGATGTTTTCACTGCAGCAAATGACAACAACTGTCAAGTTTTCTATACAGAGACTACAAAGAGACGAAAACCAACCACAAAGAGACGAAAACCAACCACAAAGAGACGAAAACAACCACAAAGAGACGAAAAACAACCACAAAGAGACGAAAACCAACCACAAAGAGACGAAAACCAACCACAAAGAGACGAAAACAACCACAAAGAGACGAAAAACAACCACAAAGAGACGAAAACCAACCACAAAGAGACGAAAACCAACCACAAAGAGACGAAAACCAACCACAAAGAGACGAAAACAACCACAAAGAGACGAAAACCAACCACATCATACTGTGTTTGAACTGTTGCCATACGTACGATTCTCCCACACTGTTGATGATGTCTTTGTATTTGTTCATCTCGTCCAGGTCTCTTTCAGCCAGCTGTTGTGAGACTTTGACTCCATCCAGCAGTTGATCTGAAACAGAGTCAACAGCTACATCAGGCTCTATATCCGGGTTTATCAGAGCTGTGTTGTAGAACATGACTTCACCATTTAATTAAAACCCGATATTTGATTGAATCTGCTTCAATTAAGTTGTTATTAAATTAGTAAGTATTAGTATAAATAAGTTATTTCCCCAGACTGTGTGACATCACAGAAATAACTAATCGTCTGATCTTTGACTGGGTATTTTAATAACCTCTTCTTCTTCTGCAGTGCTTTACTGGCAGCGACTGGAGAGAAAACGGAGGTGAAGGCTGAGCGAACTGACCTTTGTTGAACACATGGTGAGCTTTCGCCGTGATTTCAGACGCTCCTGTCGTGTTCACCTGGGCGATGTCTATGTCTGAAGACAAAGACAGAGGACAGACACCATCACACCTGTAAAAGCTCATTGTCACGGTCCTACCAGTCAAACGATGACGGACCAAACAACAAGACCCACAATTATTTCTCCATTAATTACATGAATTCATGTAATTAATAATTAATTCATGAATTCCTGGACCCATGTATGGATGAGTGAACAGGCCTGCGAAGGGGCCCGAGGGGCTGATGTACGAAGTGACAGCTCAGTTAAAAGACGCAAAACACCCACAAAGAGACATGATCATGTTCTTTTGTAAATAATGGCAGATGAAAAAAATATTAAAGACTTTTAAAAACTTTTTCTTGAGGAAATTGAATTGAAGTCTTTAAGTTGGAGACTGACCTTTGAGAAGTGGTTGTGCTGAGGAAAGAACAGAGACAGTTGTTAATCATCATGACACTAATCATCAGTTATATCTGTTCAAATAAATTCTGTGACGTCAGATTTACAACAAAAACAAGCTGCACAATAAATACTTGAACTCACCCTCTTCTCCTCGGAGCGGCTGTTGGACCAGTCTGGTGCAGAACGCTGCAACGACACAGAACCAGACAGGAAGTGAGCGAAGCAGCCAGGTTAACCAGATTCTTTACTGCTCTACAACACAAGAGCAACTGACCTCTCAGACGCTGCAGCTTCTCAACCTTCCAATTAAGAACAACGATGACGACGACAGCGATGACGACAACGGCGACGACAAGCAGGACGATGGCTACGACTGTGTATCCAGGACCCACCTCCGCCTCCGAAACACTCAACTTTTCTGCAAGTAAAAAAATAAACAAACTGGGAAATGTGAAATCCCTCTGAGGCGGCAACAAAGACGAACACTGAAAACTTCCAGATGTTTTTTTTACCACTGATATCGATCCGTTTCTCCTTCACCAGGCGCAGCTCAGTGATCTCCGCTTGACAGACCATGATTCCACTCTTTTTTGATTTTCCTTTTGTAACAAAAGAAGAAAATAAAAGTTAAAACTCCAGATGGGAAGTCGAGACTCGTGACCGAGACTCGTACCTGGAGCTTGAGTTTTGGTCGACCTACCTTTAGCCAGGCCCAGGTGCGCCCTGACGGAGTAGAGGTCGCCCGGTTCGACTGACGACTCGTTCTCAGCAGGGAGGACGTTTCCCTCGGCGTCCAGCAGAGAGACCCGCGGCTTCAGGCCCCAGCTGCTGCACTCACAGTGTACAACCAGCTCATTGGACAACTCCCGCACAGTGACGTTGACCTCAGACACCTGAGCTGCAGACAGACACACCTGTCACTGCACCACCTCGACTGTGGTCTTGTCGTCATTTATGAATCTGAACATACACACTCTGTGTGTGTAGTTCTTGTGTGAGTCTCATCTTTTTTGTTTCTGACTTTCGTCGTCCTCTGGTTTTTCCTTAAGCACCAAAAGTAGGTGAAAGGTTTGAGAAATATCTCTAATGTGGCGCAGACATTCATGTTCCCCAGAGGACGATCTGTAAGAACTGACCTTTCATCATAATCATCATCATTGCTCTGCTCTGTTATTGTATTTTACATATTTACTTTCCAGTTTTTACATTCAACTACAACAATACAAACAAAGGCAACAAAGACTAGCATGGCTGCTATCTTACCAACAATGAGAGAGACAAACACTGTCACAGATGATCCTCCACGACGGAAACATCTGGACAACGAACAAAAGGAAAAAGGTCACGATTACACAAGAGTGTAATGAATCCTGGGGGAAGATTCAAAATAAATTTCCTAAAACACGTGGGATTTCTTGACAAGAAGAAATATAAACAACATGCCATCATGTACCTGTAGGTGCCGCTGTCTCGCCGTGTGCCGCTTCGCAGCATCAGAGAGCCGTCTTCTGCCACCGCCGTCCTCCCGCGGTACTCTTCTGTTGTCTCCTTTTCCAGCTCCTCTCCATTGCGGACGACATGAACCGTGGACAGGGAGGGACCGTTCACCCGTGACCACTCCGTCAGGCCGAAGGGTGAGGGGCTGATAGATGGGTTGAAGTGACATGGGAGGACGACATCTTCGCCGGCGACTGCAAAGACTCGTTCAGGTGAGCCGGACTGTAGAGCTAGATAGATAGATAGATAGATAGATAGATAGATAGATAGATAGATAGATAGATAGATAGATAGATAGATACTTTATGAAGTAGGTTTAGGTACAACAGCAAGTTTAGACACTTTAAATGAAGCCAGGATGAAACCTAGAAGAACCTCAAGCTTTCCTTCAGGGCATAAAGACTTCAGTTCGGTTTGTGGCAAGCATACCCACCTGTCAATCAAAGAGGCCACGCCCTCAATTCTCCATAACTTCAGTCCTTAATAAAATGTAAACAAATAGAGACCAAAACTGTTTTTGTACCAGGCTGTAAACATGTTTATTTCTACTGTAATGTTGGACATTTTAATTAGAGGAACTGCATTATCTTTGAGCAGGATTTCTCCCTCATTAAACAAACTTTTACACTCTTTTTTCACTTTGTCAACGTTGTGAGAATCAGACACATTCTCTCTCAGAAAGACGCAGAAAAACTAGTCAGCTTCTGAAAATCATTATCCGGATGTGACGACAGAAACTGAGAGGAACTCAGTGGAAAATGTCATATCTTCACACATACACGCGCGCGCACTCATACACACACACACACACACGCGCGAGCACACACACATGAACCCACAAACACACACACACACACACAAGCGTTTCGGGGAAACTTCCGCCATTTACCTATGTGTAAATTTACATAATCCTTTACCGAAGTTCAAAACGTAAATTTTTTACCATTTGTCAACACTGACACATTAACAGTGACTAAAACACCGTATTTAAACATTATATTTAAGTATATCTTTGTATTTCTTGGGGATTAACATCGCTAACTTACTGTAACAGCCCTCAACAACATCAATAAGACGAATGAGTCACGCTCACCGAGCTCCATTAGCAAACTGGATATTTGAACGGTTTTTTATTTATAAGAAATTAGCAGTCACGTTAGAACATAAACTTTAAAACTAATAAAATATAATTTAATCTTCTCATTAATTTGGGATAGAAATAATCGACAGTGATGCTCGTTTTTTTAACACAAAATCTCTCCCGCTTCCTGCTGCTGAATCGTTAAGTAAAGGTAACTAATTCTGAATACAGACGTAGCAGGTGTGTCCACCTCAAAATATAAATTGCGCCACATTGTAACAAAGTAACTAACTGTATTATAACTGTATTGTAGCGCACGTGTTGTGTTAGCTGCGCTACGCCCATTTAGAACGGGTTTGTAACAAACACACTGACCTGACACCGGAAGGAGGACGCTGCTGAAAACAAACACAGAGCAGTGACAGAGGAAGAGGAGTCCCGCGTGCTCCATCCGCAGAGCTCCAGCAGCAGACGCAGAGGACACCAGACCGCTGTCCACCATGGAGACCATGACAAGTACTTTTTAGAACTTCGGCGCATGCGCTGAACTGTGGGTGACGTGTTATGATGTGTGTTCATGACTTTTTGATATTTTGAACTTTTTACCCCCCTGCACTGTTTGGTATCTTTAACAACATTAATAATGAACTTAAAGTTATCAATTTGGTGATTATTTTAGCTAAATGTCACATCCATAAATCTAAATTCAGTCTAAGTCCAAACATTAAAACTATTTTTTTTAAACCGTGGATTTGTTCTTTATTTAATATTTTTATTCAGATCACTTTCCCTGGCTTTTTTATAGTTTTGTCTGCATTAATGTTTCTGTTATATGTGACATCCATTTTCAATACAGATGTTGGGGGAAAAAACAACAACTTTGTTTTATCCCTAATGATTGTTTTTACATATTTTATTAAAAAATGCATCATAATTTATTAATGTATTTAAATAAAAAATATAACTTGAAAGATTTCTTTTACAAAGTAAAATTGCATGATTTTATATCACATTAATATTCATGTTAATCAAAAAAAAGTAAGATATCTGTTTAAAATGAGAGAAAAAAATCATGAAACACGTTCAGGTGTGTTTGTTTGTTCACATATGAGAATAAAGAGATCAGACAATACGACATCTGACAAAACAAAGTCCCAAACAAAGATGAAACCAAAAACACACAAGTGAATCTGAACCTGAAACCTTGATTTAAGTTTAATTCTGTGATACTTGGCGTCTCCACTATAATCTTTTTCTCTTGTCACCATATGAATATCATGTTTCACACTCCTACAGAAATGTATTATTTAATTAAATTTTACAGCAGAGTAAATGTTCTCCTTGAGAGGACATCAAACTTTACTTTGACTGGCTGCCTAAAAGCTCTGTGCGACATGTGGGAGTGGATCAGGGCGTTGTTGGGCCAACACCACCTTAGATAAATAATAATTAGTGGAATGATACAATTATTGAAGAAAACATGAAGCTAACTTTTAATATTTGGAGCTGATTAATGTTTGACTTTCTGTCAGTGTGCAGTTCAGTGGGAGGATTTAAGAGCTGGTCCTGGTTCAGCTGATCCTGCAGCAGGTTTGTCACAGACTCACCTGTCCTTCATTCAAACAGCTCACAGTAGAAGTGTGAGTAACTTCTCTGGTTGTCATCGTCTTGAACATCTGTTGAACATCTGCAGCCTCCACCATGAAGACGCTGGCTCTGTCTGTGCTTGTGTGTGTCCTGATGGCTCTGACTCGATCTGCCGGTGAGTATTTTTTAATTTTCTACAATTTCACCTCGTTTCAGAGACAAACATTGAACTTTTGACTCCCAGACAGACAGAGGTGAAATGGTGCCTTCACTGTCCTGTCAAAACGACACTTTCCACACACTCCAGAAAGAAACACGGCGTCCTTCAGTTGATGAGAATAAATTCAACAAAGACGACATTTAGAGATACATGTATTGGACAATGCTGATGTGCTGTTATTGACCCAGCTGTGCATGAAGTCCATGTTGCTTAAAACGCATCAGTAATCATAACACAATATTTCAGTTCACGGTCCACTGGAAAATCTGTAAAAAAAAATAATTAAGGGATTTTTTTCAACAGTTCTAAAGATCATTTCATTTTAAAACATTTAAAAATATTGTTTATAATTTTAATATTTATAATTTTTTTTTTTTATATATAAATACATCTTTTTGCCAAACGGCAACTGTTTGCAAATGATTTGTCTGCCCACTTGCAATACCTTTGCAGCCCACCAGAGGGCCCTGACCAGCAGGTTGAGAACCACTGCTTTAATATCTGTTGACGATAAAACTGTACAAAAGAACTTTGTAGGTTGTTACATTTACTTTTGATGCTTTGTGTATATTTTGTTTATAATATGTATTTTTATATTGTGTTGTTGTCACTGTCACTAAAAGCTATACTTTTACATTTTCAGAAATACGCTGAGTCATGTTCTGGCTGACAGTGGGATGGGAAGCTCGATACTGTATTCTAAATATAAAGTTACAGCCAGCAGCTGTTAGCTTAGCTTAGCACGAAGACTTGAAACAGAGGGAAGCAGCTAGCGTTAGCCTCGACTCTGGTAACACAATCCTTGTACCAGAACGTCTAAAGCTGAAGCGTTAAGATGAACATTTGCTGTTGTACTGTGGGTTATGCTAAGTTTAGCTAATTAGGTTTAGCTAAGCTAACGGCTGCTGTAAATTCATATTTAACCCTTTTTCCACCTGAAAACAAACACTCCTATTTCAACAATATGTCAAAGTCTTCCATTAAGTGCAGGATCTGGTTTTTACGTCACTGTTCATACAGCTCATGCACAAGGATTGAGGGATGGATATGAGCCACGGGTCGTTGCTGCATCCAGTGAGTGTTCATGTTCCATTTGTAAAGATGATGAACATTTGAGATATTAATATATTTGCAGTGTAATAATAATAATGACAAGGAATAAATATGTCAATAACTGTCCTGTTGATCCAGGTGATGGAGGTGACATGGGTAAGCTGATGGACTGGAATGAGTGTGAGTATTTATATATTTTCATGCCTTCGCTAACTCAAGACTTCACAAAGCAATTAAGACAAATGTCACACAAATGGTTCATATTTTATATGATTCTGGATAAACAGGGATGAAACCTGAAGTTGGTCCGAGTGGCATAGTTATAAACCCACAAATTGGTAATTCTACTCTTTTACTAAAATGCATCACACTTGTGTAAAATGTTCTCGTGCGTATAAACAGAAAAGATTCTTGATTCTCTTGTTTGTTAAATCGTCCTGCTGAACCAGAATATGAAGAAGAAGAAGAAGAAGAAGAAGGAAAGCATTTGGAGACTGGAAGAGAAATAAAGCTTCAGATAGAGAAGTGTGAGTTGTGTGAATGACCAGTGGTTTCTGTACAGAACAAGGTTAAAGTTTTAGTCTCTGCAGCGCTGACGGACTCTGTGTCTCTTACAGGAAACATCATGACGGATCTCTGGGCGACGAGCAGAGTGACGTCATCATCCATCCCGGGCTGACGTGATAATCACACCATCAGTCTCATAAACAACCTGAACTTTACGACTGTATTTCTTCTCTATTGCTGTAACGCTACTTCAAGGAACGAAGCGACAAGTGACATGAACAGCAGGGTTAGTGTCTGTAATGAGAGCAGACTGGATGTGTAACTTTATTCTGCAGAGCGAACCGTTCTTTCTTGTCTGATGCAAATTAAAGAGTTGAAGCAGCAGTTGATGCTTTTTCCTGAATCTCAGCTTCATTCTCTCCGACAACATCACGACTATAACACGTCTGATGACTTCAGTTATACTGTAACAGATAAATCAATACTGATCACTCGTTTCATTGTGTCATCTGACTGATATTTTCCTGGGTGGTGGTGTTTGATGGAGTGTAGTGGAGATGGATCAGATATCTTTTTCCAACCAATGATTTAACCTCCTCTAGTTCTCGGAAACTACAACATCACCACAAAGAATCACACAGCTCCATATTTTATTATTAGAAGAGAGGAGGCTCTGAGCCTCTCTTCTGATTGGCTGACTGTTTTCTGAGTGAGCCAATAAAAATACAGCAGATTTCAGGTAAAAACACTCAGAGAAACCAAATCCTGCAAGGTTTGGATGGTGGGTCCAGGTGGGCGGGGCTTGGTGACTGCTTTGTTGTGACATCACAAAGTTCCAGAAGTCCTGACGGCTGGTTTTAAGGCTCAGTTTCTGAATACAGGCTGTGTGCATTTCTCTGTGGACTGAGGCTTTGATACTTTCACAGTATTAATATAGAAGCTAGAGCTGATCTATAATCACACTACACATGGACACAGACCTTTACACTGGAGGAGCTTGAAGGAATAGAGAGAGAGACTCCCAGCAAATATTTATCATTTTTGCTGAAATTATTGATCAACAACTGTTTTAATAATTGACTCAATTCTTTCCATCAGCTAATCTGTTCATCGCTGCAGAATCTGAAGTCTCTTTTCAGATTTTGTTTTGTGTGAGCTTTAATTTTAGTTAAATGCAAAGTGATCGATACTCAGCAGTGGCTTCAGTGTTTTCCTTTAATGGTTTCTCCTCTTTTCTGTTTGGCAGACAGGACGTCATGGGTAACATCATCATGTTACTAAGAATCGCTTCTTGATGGTATTTTGAGTAACTGGAGGTCAAAGAAAGGTTTTTAATAAACTTGATGTTTAGGAAAATATGTGTGAGTAAGTTGTCTGCTCAGATCGATGTTGGAGCTCTTGAAGTGAGAAGAACCCTAGAGTGTGTGTTGGCTCTCTGCCTGGTGAAGTGTGTGCGTGTGTGTGCGTGTGTGTGTGTGTGTGCGTGTGTGTGCGTGTGTGTGTGTGTGTGTGTGTCTGCCAACTTCCGTGGAATTCCTGCCTGACACACCCACCAGGAGCATTTGAATACAGAGCGACAGCGCTGGACAGAAATAAAAGAGAGACAGAGGGGGACACGCAGAGGGACGGACACATGGCTGCTGGAGAGATGAAGCTGTGACAGGATGAACGGTGAGTGAAGACTTTTAAAATACAGACTAACAAGATGAGGTGAAGACTCGACTCGCATTAAGATCCTGGAAAAGTCTTCAAGCCTTGACGTGGGGCTCAGTCCAGCTCAGTTTTAGAGATGTGGTGATATCTGGTGACTAATAAAACCAGTCAGTGTTAAAGCTAAACTTTTCGGGCACCAAGGATTAGTTGGAAACCTGCTTCTGATGATATTTATTTATTTATTTCGCCGCTGTCCAGTAGCAACCATGTATCTCCAAATTTGGTGACTTCTCCAGATAAATTTACGGATTAACTGTCCTGTATGAAACAGAGGAACTGAAGCAAATGAGCAAATGAGGGAATTATTTTACATCTACGTCTAAATAAAGTGTTTAAAACCCACTGGATAATCTGAAAAGTCTGAAAAGTCTGACCATAAATAGACAAACTGATTCCCAAATATAAAACAACTACAAAGACAGAGAAAACAACTACGAAAGACTTAAACTGATGAAAAATATAAAACAACCACAAAGAGACACAAAAGGGCCGAAGCTGTTTTTATGAAGTAACCGAGGATTTATTGCCTTTAATCTTTCAGTTTTTTGCATCGTGTTTTTTACTGATTAAAGTGGCGTCCCTCTGTGCCGTTGGATTTTCCGTTCACAGTGGATCACCGAGGTCAAACATTAGAGTAAACTATCCTCCGAGATCAACAACATTATGGACACGAGTCAGCACAGAGGTCAAGGGTCACAGCCATCGTGCCTTCGTGTTGTATAAGTCAGGATAAATTTATGTGGGAGTTTCACACAAACAACAAACAACAGTCAGAATCCGCAGCAGTCGTCTTCTCCTCTGAGCTTGTAGGAGGTTTGGTAAACATTCGATTGTTGGTTTTCTCCTGAATTTTCTTTATTTGACAGTAAAGTCAGAGATGAAAGTGCAGCTGTGTGTCTGTAGACATGTTGTGTTTATACTGAAACCTGCATCTCTGCATGAATAAACTACAGCCAACAGCTCAGAGACATAAACTGATGCTGGATGTTGATGCTGATTGAACCAACAGATCCTCCAAAAACCAGACAGAGTCTTTTACTGTCTTTAGAAATGACGAATATCAACCACGAGAGGAATTTAACATTCAAACATGGATATAGATCAGACATTTACTCACACCAGCATGCAGCAAAATCTACACATTTCAGTCACTTACGAAATAAATCTGCACAAATCATACATCAGAGTCCATAATGGAGGAAGCTATTGTACCTTATCCACTGTGTCTTATAGTCTGCAAAGACTTATTCCTAAATCCATCATTAAGGTTTGGAGTCCTAAGTTTTTAGTTACTACTAGCTAGTTTTAAACTGGTGATTTTAATAGACAAAGCTAGTGCCATCCAATCAAAAGCAATCAGCTAAATGTAAACAGAGGTCACTGTAGCATCATACGCTATGCTAACCAGATTTTATTGCTATGATAGCATCACAAGCTCACGAAACTTTACAGGTGTGTACCTGAGATCAAAATGAAAGCAGAGTTCAAAGATGGGTGCTGTCCAACCCATGACTACTGAGTACTCACAACATGTTGGTGTGAGCCCGTCACAAGGTGGTCTCTCTAGTTTGGTCAAGCTAACGTTATTAGCATGCTTTGCAGTTTTACTTATAGTGTTGTTTTTGTGAATTGTATTTAAATCTTCTCAGTTTATGAAACTTCTGGCTCAGTATACACCCTGGTTACATGCCCGAGTCTGGCCCATATACTTCCACATCTCGGCAGATTCTGTTATTCTCCAGTGCACTTTTAAACACTTGCGTCACAACCAGGCTAAATTTGAACTTGTGTAACCGGCTCCAGCAGTTCACCAGGCAGCCGTAAGAATGGCCACTTCATCACCAAATATCCGGAACAAAATACTTCACAGAGGCGCACAGATGACTTTTGTCAGCCATGAACATTTTGAAACAGCAATTTAAACCTCTTAAAAACACTGATCCACAGATTAATGAATAACAATCATCTGCTATACACAGAAAACAAGTGGAAGATGCCGGTATCCTGACACAAAAAACAACAGAAAAGAGACATAAAAGGGCCGAAGCTGAAAACAGACCTGTCTTTATTAACTCTAAGTAACTGAAGAATATTTAGGACAATATAAAAGTACGACACAGATAACATGCGTCCTCATGCAAACAACCATAATGTGCATCACATTCAGGAACCAAACTGTGACGTATGAGTATTTGTACAATATACAATTATGAAATGGGCACTAACACTCAGCTCGGGATAAAAGTGATGGCATGAGGAAAGAAACTGCTGCTGCTCCTCTTGTTATACAGGTGTCTGTAGCACCTGCCGGAGCGGAGGGGTTGGAAAAGGTTGTGTTCAAGGTGTGAAGAACCTGTGGTGATTTTCACTGCTCACTTCCTGGTTCTTGAAGAGTGCAAGTCCTGGAGGGTGGGCAAGGTACAAACAATGACTCCTTTTCTTTTTGCATTAAATTAGTAACAGGACAAAACAGGAACTAAAGGAAAAAATTCATAAAATAAAAAGTAAATATGATGTTAACCTAATATAGTTTTAGTGACGACATCTTCAACATGAAAACCTTCCAGTGTACTCCTCACCTCCAATAAATATATTCCCTCCTCTTTAACTGTATATTACATAAGATTTTATGTCTGAGTACACAGAGCACATCATAGTCAGTAATTTACATGTCGTTAGATAAGCAGACGGTTAAACAGTCAAGACACTTTATTCAAATTTGCAGTCCAGGAACAAAAGGGCTGTTTCTCAGCAGGTGACCTGCTGGTGTTTATGTAACGAGTGCAGCGTTGTTTAGAACAGGCCGACTGGTTTGGTCTGGTTTACATACCACACACACACACACACACACACACACACACACACACACACACACACACACACACACACACACCCACACACACACACACACACACAATCAGTTTCCTTGTCATGTGGGTTTGGTCGGTGATGTGTTCAGGGTCAGTTAGAAGTATAAATATAAATATATTTTTTAAAGTTTTTAATTTAATGCATTTACACTTTACTGTATTTCAGGGTGACATTATGCTTTTTACTGCACTACATTTATTTTACAGCTGTATTTACCTCTTATGCTACAGATAGAGATTTTACATTAAAGAAAACATGAGCTTATAAAAATCAACACATTGTTGAAGATTAAACCAGTTCTTTCCACTCTTTTGACTTGTTAAAGGGAAAAAAACAGTAAACAGATTTGTGTGTCATCACAGTAACTGCTAATGTCTAATTCAGCAAACTTTTAATGACGAATGGCTTTCATATGTATGTGTGTGTGTGTTTCATAGAGGACCTGCTAACCACTCCCACCGTCATGGGCAACAACACCTCAGCAACAACGGAGATGCTGGTGGCATGTTTCCATGACGATGATACGTTCAAGTACCGCGCCTACACCTTCACCTACCTGCTGGTGTTTCCTGTGGCATTTCTCTGCAACATTGGAGCGCTGACAGTTTTCTTCCTGCAGAGCAACCGCAGGTCAGAACAAGCAAACACACAAACACACATCTCTGTCCTTGTGAGGTCTCTCCCTTGACTTCCATTCATTTTCAACCTTCAAGCCTGTATCCAGACTAACCCCAACCCTTTATTATAACTTCTTTAACTGTACTGTAGTGTACTGGGTAGGTAAACAGCTAACACTGGCTACGTAGCTATAGCAAAACAAATGGCTCCTTTAAACTGCTGGCTGTTGCTTATTTTGCTTACCACACTGCAAACAAATCAAGCCCACAGGGATCTGAATAACTTATGTTCTATGCAAACATCACACCATAACATGATCAAGACTGGAATAGGACTAGTAACTGGCACACTGCATGTGTGTCTTGTAGTAGTTAATGAAGTACTGATAAACAATGAGTTTCCTCACTCCCTTCTGACAGTCAGTTTCATCACAGCAGCATCTAGTGGACATGAGAAGAACTGCAGCTCAACACACCTTCCATTACTGTCATCTCACCCCTGGTCTGACTCTCTCCTCATGTTTCCCTCCCAGAAACTCCCCCTCCTACGTGGTCATGATGAACCTGGCGATATCAGACGGCAGCTTCTCGCTCACCCTGCCGCTGCGATTGGCTTATTACTTCAGGGGCGGAGTGTGGGACTTTCCTGATTGGCTGTGCCGGCTGTGCGTCTTCGGCTTCTACGTCAACCTGTACACCAGGTAAAACACAGACAGACAGTCCCGTTTCCATCACCTCACCTTGAGTCTTCATTTTGAATGTAGTGACCTACGTTACGGGGACTCACTTTTAGTCCCCAGAAGGATGTTGAGTCCCCACAATGTCAGTAAGACAAGAATACACACACACTGCTGCTCTTCCTCCTTCAGCATCCTCTTCCTCACTCTACTGAGCATACTCCGCTGGCTCGCCGTGGCCCGGCCCCTCCGTCACCGCTCTCTGGCCACGCCCACTCGAAGCTTATTGGTCTGTCTGGGAGTTTGGCTGTTTGTGGGCGTGTCCTCTGCTCCTTTCCTGTCCAATGGCGTGACGAACAGGTGAGACACTAAAATCAAGTGAAACAGACATGAAATAAAAACTTCGACATCATTTTATTGTTTGTGTGAGTTGTCTGTTACCGTCTCTCTCTCAGGGCGGGGTTTCCTCGTTGCTTTGAGCCGTCTAGCCCCTCCTCTTGGGGGCGTATCCTGATCTTAAACTACGTGGGCGTGGCTCTGGGCTTCCTCCTCCCTTTCCTCACAATCATCATTTGCTACAGCAGGATCGTCCAGCGGCTGACGGCCCCCTCTGGCCTCCACGGCAGCGGCCCGTCCAGCAACGTTCGACTTCGCAACAGGCGGCGCTCGGTGCACCTGGTTGCCATGGTGACAGCGACCTTCCTGCTCTGCTTCCTGCCCTACCACTTGATCCGATCGCTGCACCTGCACGCCGTTTGCGGCCGCTGGAGCTGCGGCGTCGTGGTGGCACTGCAGCGGGCGGTGGTGGTGACGCTGTGTCTGGCGGCGTCGAACAGTGTGGTCAACCCGCTGCTGTATTACTACTCCACCAGGACGTTCAGAGACAAGATGAGAGACGCTCATTCCTCTCTGTTGTCCAGCAGACCGGGGTCCTTCAGGTCCGGACTGGCCATGATGAGGAGGAGGAACACCAGCTGAAGCTCCCGGAAGTTCGGTCAACCGCTCGGTCTTCCTACAACCGTACGCTCCGCCGCCGTGGAGCATAAAGGGTCATCAGAATCTTTAATTCTGTATTTATTTCCACGGCAACATTTATTGAATTCTTCAGAAAAATGAAGTTGTCACATTTCCTGCCTAACACTGAAAATAAAGAGCACGAAACTGAAATCACTCGTCGTTAAGGATGTCCAGGCGTCACTGACGAGGACCTTTGCTCGGTCTCAAATCAAATACTTCAGTCAGTACACTGAGGGTCGAGTCCCAGATCAAACACCGCCATTGTGAATTCACCGGAAGTGACAAATGCATCATGTGACTGTGATCGTCGGCTGCTTTGCTCACTTTACTTAGAAGATGGCGACCGATGAGGATGAGAGGTGTCCCTCGTTTTACACTCAACTTTTTGACCATTTTGACTGATTCCTGAAGTCGACTGCGTTGTGTTGCCATGGGAACGCACTCCCACTCTCAAAACAGCAGGTGTGACTTTGAACACACCTGAACTGAGACACAGCACTGAAATCTTCCAGTCAGTCTCGATTTCCTGTGGAGTAACGGCGCTCTCTACAGGTTTTCCACAGATTGACTTTAAAGTTTAGTTAAATTCTTCATGTTTCTCGTCAACAAATTTCATGTTTGGAGTCAAACCGACAATGAACGTATCAAACAATTATCATGTTCCTGATGTGTCTTCTTCCTCTGAGCCACTGTTTCCACAAACCATTAAAACACACCAGTGAGCAAAACACTGTCACTGTTAGACAAGTTCCTCCATCACCATAAACACACACTGCAGGTTTTAGCCTCAAATAATCACTTTAGAACGTGGATTAATCCGCGGCTGAAAATAGTCCCCCACAAAAGCACTGCTGTTCACTTCCTGTTGTTTCTTTGATAAAAAACACAGTGAGCAGGAGTTTTCACGAATTACTGAGACTTTTTCATTTTTCTGTCGTGAGATTTGTGAGTGTTTGCTGTTGTAAAAACATTTTTTATTACGTGTAGACTTTAACGTTTTCCAGTGAAGAATCTTTGTTTACATGTTGGTGTGTTTGGTAAGTTTCAGTCACGTAGAGCGGAAATATCTTCGTATGAAGATCCCACAGGAAGCGTCCTCCGTTCGCTTTCACTGCATGTTTTTATTTGTTTTTAATCATTTTAAAAAAAAATACTGTCTTCTTCTCAACTTCTTCTTGTAACTCTGGAGGTTGGTTTATGATGACGCAGGAAACCAGTGACCTCAGCACTTGAGAAATTGAGAAATTAACAACTGTACAAATACATGCAGCCCCGCTTTAAAAATAATTTCATTTTATAGTTTTAATAATATTTTATTTATGACATGAAGGGTACACATAATGGACAGACATGTAAAAACATATGATGTATATGGTGTGTGTCTAAGATATGTTTGTGTGTGTGTGTGGTAGACATTAGAATGTAATGTAAATATAATCGTAGGGAGAATGTAATGAAAATATTTACAGATAAATATACATACATATATATTCATATATATATATAGATATATATATACATACATATCCTGTCAATGTAATAAAAAATATTATAATAAATAATAATAACAATAAATCTCATGACAAAAAATATGTTAATATGATATTATAGAATGTAATAAAATACCATATAAAATAGTGTAGAATAATATGATAGTGTGGTGGTGTTATGACAGAATTATTGTATTATTTATAGAATAATAATCCTAAACATGTTATATCATAATAATATTATAATAATATAATATACATTAACATATTAAGTTACACACCCAGGGACCCCAGCAGGACAGAGTTGTTTATATTGTTGTTACGTTTTATAGCAGGAGTTGTTCATAATTAATTTAATAAATATTTATTAATAGTTTGTTATGAACCTCTGATTACATGTTATACACTAGTTATAAAGGGTTACCCATGAGTCTTTGCACCTTCAGCTGTAGTGGTTGTAGTGCTGTGATGTGCAGTGGTGTCCAGCAGAGGGGGCAGCACCTTTTTCAACGCTCACACACTGTATATCACAGCGATGTGCATTGTGGGTATTTCCTTTAAGAACTCAACATGTCAGTGTCTGACTTTGAGCCCCCCCCCCCCCTCACAGCTGAGCTTTTACCCCCCCCCACTCCTGTGTTTTACAACATCACTGGAAGACGTCCAGTCATTCCTGAGAGTGCACGGTGTGGACCAATCAGCACTCAGCTTCTCTGTGGATCAGAAGGAGGTCAAAGGTCAGAGACGGCAACAATCATCACCACGAGGACGCAAACAGAAACTTGTGTTGTGGTTTGTTTTTATGACTTTTGAAAAAGAAAACGCTGCTTTCCTTCTGTCATTGTGTGTGTGTGTGTGTGTGTGTGTGTGTGTGTTTCCTGACTTCCAGGTGTTTCCTGACCCCACCCCCTCTTGTTTTATAGGCACATACACACACACACACACACACACACACACAGGCCGACACTCATGATGTTTGACTAAACACAGACAGAAAGTCAGGTGATGAAAACGTATTTACTTCAGCGATCAGCTGAGTGGATGGAGTTTGTGCTGCTGAAATAAATACAGAGGTGTTCATGTTATTTGGCCTCACTGATATAAATGAGCTCCACCAACACAGCCCTGTATTTAATTTCATATTTTAACAGGCATCAAAAACAGGAATTGTAAAAAGAATTTAATCCATCAATAAATACTTAAGATTTAAAAAATGGATTTACAAAAGCAGCATAAAACGCTAAACGCTAAAACCATTTAGAAAAACATTTATTAATTCATGAATGAGCTAAGTGACTAAGCTAATCGATTAGCTAATGAAGAAGAGCAGCTGGAACAGGGAAATGGAAATTAAAGAGGGAATCCATTTTAAAATTGTTTTTCAAATTTAAATTTCTATTAATGAATTAATGAATGTTTTATTGAATGACACTTTTATGCTGTTTTTGTAAAAACATTTTTAAATCTAAAATATTTATTGATGGATTAATCGTACATTTATAAATTCTTTTTACAATTCCTGTTTTTAATGTCTATTCAGATATGAGGTGAAGGAAATGCTTCATTACTTTTCCTGTGACGTCGCTGGTCCTCCACAGATTCCTCATTAAAATACGTTGAATTAGAAATGAGCAGCTCCTGTTGTCAGTGGCTCATTACATATTCAGACAACTGTCACTGAATCACGGAGACTGAAGGAATCTGCAGTAATGACGAAGACCTGTTGTTTATTCCTGACGGACATGTTAATAATTACGTCTTCAGGAAGTGGAAGTCACAAGTTTGTCTTGTCTCTGAGTTCAAGTGCTTGTTCAGCTTTTTCAAATACTTTTGCATTAAAAAATAATATATAAAAAAAATTAGATAAGACTTTTTAAAATCATTTTCCACCAGAACTATCTCCAAACACAGTGAAGCTCTGTCGTCCCAGATGTTCAACATCAGTAACAGCACTGTGACCACAGCTGGTTTATCATCTGGACCTTCAGAGGGACTTCTCCTTTAACATCTGGTGTCTCCCGTTCCAATGGAGGGCGCCAAAGATCGTCTCTGCCTGAGAAGATGATCCACTCGATCAGTGCCTGCACTGTGATTAAATTGTACTGAGTATGTTTCTTCATATTTACCATCTGCCTCATGATGAATCTAACAGTCACTTTGGAGAATCAGTGTTTTCATTGTTATTTAAATTGGTAAGTTCATAAGACAAATTAGAAAAGCACAAACTCTAGTATCTGTCTCTAGATCCTGTATTGTCACTGTTGAAGGACGGACACATTTAAACATTTCTATCATGTTTGTTGTTGATTAAAGCAACATAGAAAGTCTTTGATTAATTACAGATTCAGGAAAATGTGTTGTGATTTCTATACTGTGCTGCTGCTGCTGCTACTGTTAAAATTCATACCAGACACGTTCCATAAAAACCATCAACAAAGCAAAGCTTCATAAGAAACTTTATTTCACATTAAAACTGCATTAATTTCAACAATTTACAATCAACTGTAACTGACAAATTAAAAGTAGAATACAGTTGTGGATGAAGCTGCAGGTGAACTTCACTGTCACAAGACAAGTCTGCATCATAAAGAGGTGGATAAATCTTATTTAGTAACAATTATAAATTATAGTAGAAATGTAAAATAATACTTCATAGCTCAGTGAGGACAGAGCAACAGTCTGACAGGTTGACTGTTGTTGTGTGATAAACCATTTTCCTGCTTTCCTCCCAGTGCATGCTGGGATACATTCCAGTACTTCAAACTTGTTTGTTTGAAGTTTGAATGTTTGATGTGATGAAAGAAAGTTTGCTACATTTCATCCAGAATCACAAAGTTTGAATGTAGAAGTCACATAAACTTAAAACTAATAAGATTCACCCTGAAATTACAGAGAAGATCTTTAAATTGTTCGTATGGACATTAACTTTTATATTAACAAGCTACATTTTTAATTACAGATAATTACTGTTAGAAAACTTAGTTATTTTCCGTAAAATTTAAAAAAAAAATTTACAGTGTGGGTATAGGAATAGAAATAATCAAAATACCTGCTGCATCTTTTATACATGAGATGCAGCTCAAAGTGTTTTTAAAAAAACTGCATAAACAAACAAACAAACAAACAAACAAATGAATTTAAAAAAAGAAAAAAGTTTTCAGGAACTTTTAACATAAAAATACTCATGGCAACTCAAAATAATCACATTCAGTATAATTTATAAGATACAAAGTCAAAAGTAATATGTAACAATTCATTATTTTAATTTACTAAGTCAAAATCAAAATTATGAGACATCAAGTAAGAAATGTGATTTTGTTTTGATTTAAATCAAAATTATGAGATAAGTTTAAAAAATGTAATTTGCTTAATTAAAGTGTTTTTTGTCAAAATGATATGATATGAATTCAAACTTATGAGCTATTTATTAAGAATTGTGATTTACTTTCTCTAAATGAGTCAGTTTATATTTTATATTGTCTTTATTGCATTCACTCACTTGTGCTTTTACTTGAGTCAGATTATGAATACAGGACTTTTACTTGTAATGAAGTATTTATATTAGCTGAAGTATTCTGATGATATATTTATGTTTATATACTTTATATACTACAGCTCCACTAAAATATCTACACTTAAAAAGTTAATTTTATTTGCCATTTTTAAGTTGGAACAACTTCATAAAATTAAGTAAACATGAATAAATTTTAAGTCAACCTCACAAGTGGATATAAAGTCAACATAACTTAAAACTAATAGTTATATTTACTTAGATTTTTCAAGGTAATTGGTTTCCTAGATTTGTTTCAACTTTTGTTGAACTGACATTTGTTTCACATTTTGCAGTGTATTGGCAGATCATTAATCCTGAGTCATCAAGCTGCTTTGAAATACAGTTAGTCAGATAGTTTAGCCCAGTGGTTCCCAACATAGGGGTTGGGCCCATGCAAGGGGTCGCCAGATAAATCTTAGGGGTCGTCAGATGATTAAAGTAAAGTAAAAGTAAAATACCTTAACATAAGATATTCCTTCATTGGTCCCACAGCGGGGAAATCGGCAGTATTTGCAGTATTACAGCAGCAAAGTGACAGTACAAAGTAGAAAAACTGCACAATGACAATTAAAAAAGATAAATAATATAATAATATAATATGTACAGATATTTGAATACAACAAAAACAAAAAAAAATGCAGCAGACAAGTGATATTGCACAAGTGGATTATTGCACATGGTGAATTAAAGTACATTGTTTACATAAGTATAAAGTCGTATAAAACAGAAATAATCAACTACAATACAAACTAAAACTGTACTAAAAGGTACAGTAGTCTGCTCAAACTAAGAGTTTTTAGTTGCTTGTCGCGCTAACAGATCTCCGTAATGTCAGTCAGAGTGAGACCTCTGTCTGTGTCTCAGCTCTGTGCGGTGACCCCTCCGTCGGAGCCGGGGGGAGGGGGAGGGGGAGGGGGGGCAGGGCGGAGGCGGCTTCGAGCCCCGGGGGCTGACGGCTGACTGGCTGGCTCTCTGCGCTGCTCCGTCACGGGGACGCGCCCGCACGTCTACACGCACACACCCGCCGCGCGGCCAGGCCACCGGCCAGCCTCTCTGCCTCTCTCTCTCCCCCCTCTCTCTTCTCTTTCCTTTTCCTCCATTTTTTTCCGTTAAAAACTTTCCGTTCACACCCGGTTCACCGATAAACTTTTCCCTCCGGAACCGAAGCGGCCCCCGGGGCGGACAAGTAACCGGATTACCGAGTTTCAGCGACTAGCTAGCGGCCGGACCTGCCGTGATTCACCGCCCTGCCGGCCAGCAGCAGCGGGCCTCAACTTTCCTTCATCTTGTTTCACTTTTTTGTTTTTTTACTCTTTCCGCCGCCGGTGAAACTTACCGGACGGTGACGTCAGCCCCGAAGGAAGTCAGCCGCCGTTACACCGGAGAAGACAACATAAGTGAGTGTTTAAACTTTTCTCTAACGCGCGTGTGTATGTGTGTGTGTGTGTGTGTGTGTGTGTGTGTGTGTGTGTGTGTGTGTGAGAGAGACACAGCAGCGCCCCCACCCAACTCTCTGACCGTCCTTGTGTCCCGGTACCGACAGGCCCGGCCCAGGACCAGGACCGGGACCACGGCTGTTCTCCCGGCTGAACCTTCTACTTCCGTTAGTTGTTGTTTATTGGTTGTTTTCTCCGGACCGGAGACATGGGGACGGTGTGAACGGATCAGCGCGTGGCTTCCACGAGACTTACGGTTTCCTCCGGTCCGGTAGAGGTGAGTCACCCCCCCCCCCACCCGGTAATATCATAATATAATAAGATTAACTGTCAGTTCACATTTAGTTTTTACTCTTACAGACTCCAGAGGAAATCTAAATTTAACCACATTAATATCCAGTTAAAATTTAATCACAACATGAAAGAAGTTTTAAAATATGAGGTTTTATTATGAATTAAACTTTCTAGAAGCGGAGCTGACATCATTATCTGACCGTTGACTTTTAAATCTTTGACATTTTAAGGTTAATTTTCATTTTTATTTCATTGTTTTTCTTGTAGTTATTTGTCATATAAAGTTTATTCTAATATATCAGAGTTATTTGACTCTAAAGACGGTGAATCTTTGGTCTCATTATATTTTGTTTTATCTTTTTATGTATTTTAGTGTTGGATATTTGTGATATTTAACAGTTTGATGAAATGATTCAACAGTTTTAAACCTGGATTTATTTGTAATATATATTATTTTTTAATGTGGTGAATTAAGACACTGGAGCCAAATCGATCAGTCGATTAATCAGTTAATCGATCGACACAGTAATAATTAGCAGCTTTTCTGATAATCAGTGAATCGTTTCAGAAGATTTGCTGCTTTTCTTTGTCGTTTTCATTGTAAACTGAATATTTGAGTTTTTTTAGACTCTTGAAATCTTCAGCGTGACAAAAGTCCACAGATTAAATGATTAATCTATATTGACAATAATCACCAGCTGCAGCCTTACTGTACACGATTAGATTTAAATTTAAATGTTTATTCCATTAATCAATAAGTTGGCTGTTGATTGGTCAAAAACAAGGTTTCACTTTGGGCTCTTTTCTGATTATTCCAAATCAGAAATCATCAATTAATCAGCTGATACTAATTAATCTTAAACATTTTGTCTATAAAACATGAGAAAATAGTGAAAAGCCTCGGCCACTTAAATTACCTGTTTTATTCAACCGTCCAGAACCAAAATTAAAGTTTAAACTTAAAACAAAGAAAAGAAGCAAATCAGAGAAACTTGAACCAGATTTCTTGTCTGTAAAAGAACCAAAAAGATTAATTGATCATTAAAATAGATGCAGATTATTTCTTTCTGGTGGAATAATTGAAATTAAAACAAGAAAAATCAATTTAAATGTACATTTTGACCGACAGCAGTAACAGCAGGGACGTCGAGTAAAGGGGGGTAGCTGTAAATTATCACATTATACTGAAGGTTTTAGGACAGAAACGTGAAATAAAACGGATAAAATCTTCATCAAAGATTCATTGATCAACTGATTAATTATCACAGCTCCGTTTCCAACATCCACCTCTGATCTTTGAAAATGAACATGTTTACCTGATAAGTGAAGCAGTAACAAAACCAGGGATTGTATCTACTCATGCGTTTCCATTCAGATTAATGTTATTGACTTTTATACAGTTCATTATTTGAATATTACATGGCCAAAAGTATGTGGACACCGGAGCTTATCTTGTTCCCAAACCACGAATGTTGATCTGTTCGCTGCTGAGCATTTTATTTTGAAACAGGGGAAAAAAGGGACAAAGTAAAATAAGATGTCCCCTCACTGGAGTCCAGGGATCCAGACCAGAGGCACAGGGGTGTCCACATACTTTTGTCCATCAGATCAAAGCTGAATAATGAGGTTTTAGAGGCGACGCTGCCGTCAACAGAGAGACTCTCTAAAGTTAGCCTGAGTGGCTAAAGCAGTTCAGAGCAGGCATCTCAGCTATCTGTGTGTGTGTGTGTGTGTGTGTGTGTGTGTGTGTGTGTGTGTGTGTGTGGTTGTGTGTGTGTGTGTTGTGTATTTTTAGCTACATGTTGTTTGGATTCTGCTCTAATGTTATTAGGCAACACCACAAAACTGATAACACGAGACCGAATCATCTACTTGATTATGGCAGGCCGCGCGTGTGTGTGGTGTGTGTCGTGTGTGTGTGTGTGTGTGTGTGTGTGTGTGTGTGTGTGTGTGTGTGTTTGTGACTTTTTCCAAAACCTCCTCCAGGTGAGGAATGTTAAACGTCCCGTCTGGAAGAAGGTCTCTCAGTTCCACCTGTTAGCGCTCAGGCTAGTGCGTCTCAATGGAAACACCAGTTAGCATCCAGCTGTAGCCTTTAGCGCCGACTGTTTCTCACTCTTTCCAGTTAAACAAACAACAAAACTGCATCACAGCAGCATCTGGAGAGGAGTGGGGTAGCTGATAACATCTGTATTTCACAGTCGAGATGTCGTCATGCAGTTAGCATTAGCACAGGTTAATGAAACCAGCTGTGCCATGTCGTCCATGTTTACATGAGTAATTACAGAAAAAGCCTAACCCAGTGTTCAGTCTCCTCCTGCTGCTCTGTCTTCAACCTCCACTGTGTTTTAAAGCAGCTGAATTCACCACATACTTGTCCTGAGACATGTTTTTCTCTTTCTGTTGTCGAACACTGGAAAAATGATTTAATAGCAGCTCATAAACGCTACTCGTTAACCTGCAGTCGTCGTCTAAGACTACTCAAAGTCTGTCTTTACTGCCGCACAGTTTAGCCCATACCAGGGGTTTTCCTATGTTAAGAGGATTTGATGCTGTTCGACTAAAAGCTTTTCACATCATTTTGTAGCGTCATTATTAGAGCTGCCAGAAATAATCTCCTCAATGGGGTGAAACACCCTATTGTTTTCCATCTGAAAGGAGCTTTTAAAACAATATCTGTTGCTAAATTAGCTCAATAAGCTAGCTAATGAGCCGTTAACATACAGCGTCATACTCATTCTGCCAACCTGAAAATAAGACGGTGGGGTTTTTTTTGTGTTTTTTTGTAGAAATTAGGTTTGAAAAAACTGGGTGGTGTTACAAGGACATCTAGAGTGAGCTGCTCCACCGTCGCCAACCTGGCAGTGTCTGACCCCGCCCCCTCAAAAATGAACAAAGAGGAGGATTTGGGTGCATGACGTTTTATTGTACCAGGCTGTAAACATGTTTATTTCTGCTGTAAAGTTGGACATTTTAACATGGGAGTCTATGGGGACTGACTCACTGTTGGAGCCAGACTCTAGTGGTCGTTAGAGGAACTGCAGGTTTTTTGTGTTGGCTTCATTTTTCAGCCTCGGAGGTTGCCGCTTGTTTTGGGCTACTTCTTATTTGATTGGGGGAGTAGAATGGTTTTCGATGGCTTACGTTACTTCACTTACATCCGTCAACAAAGATGGCCGCTAAAGTGAAGCGATCGACTGATATGGTCATTTATCGGTCAAGCTCTAGTCGTGTCGCTTGAGGTCATTTTTGTGCAGGCTGAGATAACAATGCCAATATTTCCCACCGCATGTGAAGGCAGCACGTGGTCATTGTCATGTGAACAGGATGTTCATCTGTCAGCTCGACTCAAACGGTGTGAGAGAGTCAGAGTGAAATGTTCTTCACAAACTGGGCGTCGAGTCGAGCTGATGACTATCTTTAGCTCTGTGTGTGTACATTACCATAGGAAGGAGTGTGTGTGTGTGTGTGTGTGTGTGTGTGTGTGTGTGTGTGTGTGTGGTATGAAGACCATTCATTATCACATTCCTCCAGAGAGGCCTACACATGGGAACTAACTCAGTCTGTGTCTCAGTGGGAGTTTACCGAGAGAGTGATCAGATGTGTTCACTGCTGATCAATAATCAATCAGTCAGATCAGATGAGCTGCGGTATCTATAGACAAGAGGAAGAAATGCCACAGGAATGTAATGTTGGAACCAAGTTTGTTAATTTAAACATTAATTTGATCTTTTCTGATACGATTTAAAAGATATTGGAACAGGATCTAAAGTTATTTTATATTATTGATCTGTGGATTATTTTTTCCTGTAATCATTAATCATAAAATGTAAATAGTGAAACTATAAGCTGTTACTGTGACTGTGACTCTTGAGAGCACTGATGACTAGAGTTTGAGTCTTTCCTGCTGTTTTCTCGTCCTCCGAAGGGACTGAGTGAAAAATCAGGTACATTTTTAAATCGTTGTGTCAGCAGACTGGTGGAGTTTGCCTCTGTTTCCACATTCTTTCCTGCGTGATGAGGGTTGTGTAATTTCTGGCCGAGTGCAGTCTCTCTCCGAGGTAGCTCGTGGGTTAGCAGACGATGCGGCTGCTGCTTTTAGCTGTGAGATAAAAGCAGCAGCCGCAGCAACGAGTGGAATTTCTCCTCTGATGCTGGAAGACCGTGTGTGTGTGTGTGTGTGTGTGTGTGTGTGTGTGTGTGTGTGTGTGTGTGTGTGTGTGTGTGTGTGTGTGTGTGTGTGTGTGTGTGTGTGTGTGTCTGTGTGTATGTGTGTGTGTGTGTGTGTGTGTGTGTGTCTGTGTGTCTGTGTGTGTATGTGTGTCTGTGTCTGTGTGTGTGTGTGTGTGTGTGTATGTGTGTGTGTGCTAACAGTGTTTAAACAGCTGGTTAGTTTGGCTAACAGCAGCTTTACAACTAGCTGGGCCTGTTCAACCAGACACATTGAATAACTCTGTGTGTGTGTGTGTGTGTGTGTGTGGGTGTGTGTGTGTTGGGATGCCTGTGATGTGATGTCAGCGTTTCTGTCTGTGGTATGCAGGCTGCTCGCTCACCTAGACACACACACACACACACACACACACACACACACACACACACACACACACACACAATAAGATTAGAGTACAATCCAGTATCTTTGTCCACCATCTTGTGCGTGTGTGTCTGTTTGCCGTGTTCCTGTTGTGGTTGTGTGACCTGAAGCTGTGTTGACAGAGCAAACACACACTCTCTCACTGTTCTCTGTGGTGTGTGTCGGAGCTGGTGCATTTAAAACAAATAAAAAACCTTTTCCTTCAGTTGTTTCTCAGGTTTTAGTTTGATAAAGTTTTACTGACTCTGAATCAAATTAAATTTATCATCATTTTCAAGTCACTAAAGTTACAATAACTACAATGCGTCTCTGATCCAGAACTCTGAGTTCAATCAGCTCCAGATATAGATTTGATATAGAGATGAACGATTAGTCAATAAATCAATTGGTTGACTGACGGAAAACGAATCGGCAGCTTCTGTATTTTCATCTTTTAATTCATTTTAGTCAAAATGTCAAATATTTGCCTTTTGAAACTTATGTGATAATAAACTGAATATCTCTGGATTTGTTTTATAATGTTCATTCTTTTACTATTTTCCGGTGTTTTTTTAGACGAGACGGATCAGTGTGACATCAGTGTCTTTCTCTCGTTCACTGTTTAATCTGACCTGTGTGTGTGTGTGTTAGCGTAATGTGCTGTTTCCAGGTTGTACTTTAACATATTTAGTTCCAGTGGCTGAGTTAAGTATCAGAGGCAGAGACTGAGGCTCGCTGCTTCGTTTTGGCTTCTTTTGTTCGGTGAAAAAACACTAGAGCAGAACAGGTGTAAATGTTTGGGAATCTGCAGGAAGTGAAGAGTCTTTAAAAAGCCTTCCCTGTTGAGTCGCTGTGGCGTCTCCGTCAGAAACATCGGACCGGCAGGAGAGAGGAAGATCATCAGCTCACAATGTCCGAATGTCACACGACATAATGACGTCATTGTTTTTAATTGATTTATCCGTCCAACCTTCCTCACATTAACACATGACACAAACAGAAATGTCAGATCTCCACACTGTTTTCATCATACGACCCCCTTCTTCTTCTTCAGTGGTTTAAAGGCAGCGACGGGAGAATCCGCTCCACCAGCTGTTTTAACTCCATCAACCAGTCGACTTCATATAAGATTCATTCATTCACGGTTTCTTGAGAGATTTGGTGACAGCTTGTGCTACGTTTGGATGGAAACTGGACTTTTTTAAACCAGGCGAAGCCCTCATTGTTTTGTTTTTTTTCATGAGCCCACAGACACTTGATGCCAGGAGAGATTGAAGCGAGCATAAGCCATGACTGTGCTGACAGGCAGGCCTTTTCTTGTCTTGTTCTTCATGAGTACCATGGATATCTGAGATGGCGTTAACACACAGGTTGCAAAGTCAGAAGGCGGTCTCGGACAATATCTGCCAGGATAGTTAAAAAGTGTAAATTCGTGACCTTTTACACTCTGATGTTTGGTCTGTTTGCTGTTCAGGTTTTTGTAGCTCAGTTGAAGACAGACGGTCGAGATGAAGAGATAAAAACCTGTTTATAAATTTGATGTCAAAGTATATTTTTATTGCAGTTTTTTGAGGACGTTTGTCCTTAAGGTCACGAGTTTGAGTTTTGGTTCTGAGCCTCTCTTCTGATTGGCTGACTGTTTTCTGAGTGATCCAATAAAAATAAAGCAGATTTCAGGTAAAAACACATGAAGGTTTGGATGGTGGGTCCAGGTGGGCGGGGCTTGGTGACTGCTTTGTTGTGACATCACAAAGTTCCAGAAGTCCTGACGGCTGGTTTTAAGGCTCAGTTTCTGAATACAGGCTGTGTGCATTTCTCTGTGGACTGAGGCTTTGATACTTTCACAGTATTAATATAGAAGCTAGAGCTGATCTATAATCACACTACACATGGACACAGACCTTTACACTGGAGGAGCTTGAAGGAAAATCCAAATTAAAGTTGAGATCTGGAGACATCAGGTTATAAACAAACCCCCTGTTAAACAGCATTTTTATAAAATGATTTAAACACTGACTTGGAGATAAAATCAAAAGCACGAGAGATCAGATTCACAGCAGGAATGTAGATCTGCAAGATGAGATGGAGCAAACAGACTTTTAACATTCCTGTTGGTTTCTCTGCAGAGTCGGGGTTTAGATCGAGAGCTGCTGCAGAAATGTCTCAACTTTTACAGAGACCTGGGGTTAAAGGCTGGATGGAGGAAGTGATGACGGCTGAATAAGGAGCCCCTCCCGCACTGTAGACTGGATGTCACTCGATAAACCACCTGTGACCTTTGTGATGATTTCGCAGGCGTGACCAGTGTGGCGTCCGTTTCATTTCTTTATTTTTGCATGACCATATTGGGCGTGTCGTCTCTGTTGTTCTTAGGCTCATTCAGCTAAATTCAGGGTGGAACAAACACAGCTGATGTTTCTACACCCTGACGGATACTGAGACTTTGACATTGACATTTTAGAGTTTAAAAAATCTTTTTAACATGAACAAACATTTTGATAAAGATCCGTTAAAGAAGTCGTTGTCTTTGTGACTTCTCTGTGGCTCTCAGCCCTAAGCCCTTCGGTTCCTACTGAAGCTGTAAACCTTTAAAAACACCTCATGAATATATAGTTCCATGTTTAAAAGCCTCCTCTGAGCCTCACGCATACAGTGAGTAAACAAACACATTTAAAGGGTTAAAACCCTGAAAATAATTGAATATTTCGTCGTTATGATCAGGACTGATGTTGGTAAAAACAATCTAACTCAGTGAAAGTGGAAAATAATATTAATATGTGATGTTTTTATTGCAGTTTTTTTGATGACATTTTTGTCCTCTAAGGTCACGAGTGTGAGTTTTGTTTTCCGTGATTCCTTAGATCTTTAAAATCACCTCACGGACAAATAGTTTCATGTTCAAAGAAAAGTCTGAAGCAGCTGCTCACTAGTTTCTATCAAATAAACAGGAGGAAGTAGTTCCTTTGTTGGGGACTGTTTTCAGTGGATTACTCTACATCTGGTGCTGTAGTGAGTCTTTGTGGCAGCAGGAAGGTGTGTGGGACCGAGTCAAATTAAACTGCAGCGTGTTAATGATAATGAAGGAGTCACAGTGAGTGTGGAAAACATGCAGGGAGAAGCTTTTCCTGTTTAACCGCCACTCACTTGAACTTTCACTATTTAAAAAGACAAAGGTCTCTGGTCTCTTCATATCAGCCACTAATTAATGTTTTACTATGATCCAGTGATTAACTTGTGAGGCGTCGGTTTGTGTGTCTGCACTCTGCCAAAGATTGTTTATGAAAGAAGAAGCTCCACTGTCTGACACCGCTGTGCAGTCAGTGTTTCTGTAGGTGTTTTCACTTTGTTATTGTAGGTTGTTGGTTATAGATTGATCAGCAAATGTGGCCAGTGTATTGATTTACAATGAAATGCATGTAGTAACATACATCACAGTAAGTCATTTACATACAGTTAGCGTCTGTTTTCAGCTGATTCACAACAATTAGAAAACAAGCTCTGCATGTGTAAAACATTCTGGTTTAGAGGTAAAGAGGGGACCGTGGCCCGTCACATTTCTGCTCATTCTGTGTGTGTGTGTGTGTGTGTGTCTGTGTGTGTGTGTGTGTGTGTCAGTGATGTTCAGACCGGAGTATCAGTGCATCCCTGTTTAATGTTGTGTGAGTTGGAATGTCGGCCATGTTTATTACAGAGCGTTGAGACCTAAATTACAGAGCAGTCTCTCTCTCTCTCTCTCTCTCTCTCTCTCTCTCTCACATGCACCAGCTGATAACCAATCAATTATTCTAAATTATTCTATTCAACCAATGAGCTGATCAGTAACATAGTCACAGGCCTTTGTGACACTGATCAATCCACTCTGATAGACAATAGATTGATGGGCTAATCAGTAACTTTCCCACTCACACACACACACACACACACACACACACACAGTAACATTATCTGACAAGGTGTTTTCCCAGGGGAACAAGACCACAGTGTTTAACTGTGTGTGTTTAAAGGCCTGAGGCAGGGGCGTTCGACATAGACTGACAAAGTCAGAGAGAGAGAGAGAGAGAGAAAAGAGGGTGAGAAAGAGTGAGACAAAAGACATTTAAAAAAACAGCAAGAAGAGAAGGAAAAGAAGGACGGAGAGACAATAGGACGAAAGAAGCAGAAAGACAGAGGTGAAAATGAGGCAACTGTGGTTTCCATGGTGACGAGGAAACACATAACAGAGGACAGGAATGTAAAGAGAGAGAGAGCAGAGACGGAAAAAAAGTGGAAACATGAAAGAAAGAGGAAGAGAGAGAGGAAAGAATGAAGGGAGGAGGAGGAGGAGGTTCAGGAGCAGTAATGAAAGGAAAAAAGAGAGAGAGAGGGAATGACTCGCAGTGCTCGAACGCCCGGGATGAATTAAAGGAGCGACAAAAATAAAAGAGAGAAAAGGTGAGACGAGAAAAATAAAATTAAGATTAAAAAGTAAAAGAAAATAGGAGAGGAAAGGAAAGGAGGAGTAAAATTTGATATAAGAAGATGAAAAGACAGAAGAGGAGATAAGTCAACAACAGAAGAAGAAAGCAGGGATAAGAAAAGATAAGAAGAAGAAGACGTGACACGAAACAAAAACACATAAAGGAAGAGGAAAGAAAATAGAGAAGGAGAGAAAGAAAGATGATTCAAGAGGAGGGAAAAGGAGGAGAGGTTTTCCTCTTCCCTTTCCTTCCTGAAAAAAGAGCGGGAAACTCGGGTCGTAAAGTGAAGGGAGGAGTCCTGGAAAAGAGAAGAAAAGTGGTTTGACCATAAACCCAGAGATGGAGGGAGGAAAAGATGGAGGGAGCGGATTATTCTGTTTAATCTGAATGGGAAGAGAAATAGATGATGGAGGGATGTTTTTTTACATTAACTGGACTGATTTACTCACTTTAATAAAGTTGTTGGATTCACAAGAAATTAAACAGAACGGTTCAATTCTGAATTCTGGATTCTACATTTCCCATAATGCACCGGGATAGTGCCGTTTTAATATTGAATTTATTTAAATGTTGATGGTTTTTTTTATGGTTTTTTTGGGGGGGGGGGGTTTTTGTCTGTGTCTGACCATGCTCTCTGATTGGCTGTCCTCAGGTGGGGTGGGCGGAGCTTAACGATGGCAGGTGCGTCAGTGAAGGTGGCGGTGCGAGTCCGTCCGTTCAACTCCCGAGAGACGGGACGCAACGCCAAGTGTGTGATCCAGATGCAGGGGAACACCACCTGTAAGACACAACACACACACACACACACACACGTTTGTCTTTATATAGCTGTGAGGACCCTCACATTACCAGGTCCCTGAACTAAAATATTATTAAGTTATTTTACAGAATTTAAGTTTATTATTTATCATTTCTGTGTTGTGAGAACCGTCTTCACAATGTAGAAATGAAAGTAGTTCAACAGTTTCACAAGACACTATAAGACTCTCTGATTTTGTCTAATGTTTTCTAATTCATCCAACTTTAATCCTAATTTATCTTCTTTCAGAGAAAACTCCAAAGTTGTACATATGTTGTAAAAAATCAGTTTTAATGAAGGCTTTTCCCTCTGTGTCATTAAGTTAGAGCTTTGCATGTATTAAAACAGCCCTCAGCAATCCCAGAATGCCCCTGCCCGTCACATGACCTCTGAACCTGCTGCTATTTAAACTCAAACACACACGCAGTTTATTAATAGACGTTGCTGCAGCACGACTGTTTTTAGCAGCCGTGCGACCGTCAGAACACACTCAGATATTTATGCACTGATCGTGTTAATGATGGGCGGATTGAGTCGAGCTTTTAGTAAATGTTGGAGCCGTCACGTGCAGATTTCACTACATGTCCAAAAGTATGTGGACACCTGATCATTGAAGACGCGTGACTCCAAAAATATTTTTTACACTAAGTGTACAAGGTGTTTGATAATTCCCCTCTTTTGTTCCAGGTATCTCCAACCCCAAACAGCCCAAAGATGGAGCTAAGAACTTCACCTTCGACTATTCCTACTGGTCACACACAACGGTGATCACACACTGTGTCACACACACACACACACACGTGTAGAAACGTTCATCAGGTAAACCAGGATTGGTATTAACCAGAGGTGTGTGTTCGTGTTTCCACAGACTGACGACCCCAGCTTCGCGTCTCAGAGGCAGGTGTATAAGGACATCGGAGAGGAGATGCTGCTGCACGCCTTTGAAGGTAAAACCATTTGAACTGATGCTAATGCTAATGCTAACGAGGATCATACAGTTATTAATGTATAATGTTTAAGTTGATTAATGATACTAATCTAGATACTTGAGATACTAACATCCATGTTAATGATTTTACTACAGATGCTAGTGCTAATGCTAATGGTGGTTATGTTAATGATGATACTATATTCACCGATGATAATGTTAATGAGTTCGTGATCCTAACTTTAATGCTAGTGCTGCTAATCCTGGTGATGAGGAAAATATTAATTATTATGTTAGTAATGTTGATAATAATGCTAATGATGCTAATCATGTAAATCACCCTTCTGATGACGCCAACGATGCTACACTTGCTAATGCTTATAATGATGTTTTAATTGTTGATGATCCTGCTAATGATTCTACAGAAGTTAAAGTTTGTGGTGTTCATAGGATAGTAAACAGTGATGCTAATGATGCTAATGATCCTGGTAATGCTGATACACATCTTCCTGATGGTGCAGCTGCCACCATCATAAATATTTACACTATTTAAACTTGACCCAACAGCTGCAGGTCCTGCAGCTCCAAGTGTATTTCAGGATCTGATTTTGGTGGAGGACAGTGTTCTTTATTTTTTTTTATTTCAGAAGCTCAGTAAGATTTTAATCTATTTATTTTCCCAGGATACAATGTGTGTATTTTTGCGTACGGCCAGACCGGTGCCGGAAAGAGCTACACCATGATGGGCAAACAGGAACCTGGACAGGAGGGGATCATACCACAGGTAAAACACTAGTTTTTAAGTTCAGTGTAGGATAAAATTGTCCTCAACAATATACTGATAAAGGACATATTTATATTTAAATAGTTAACAGGCAATCACTTATTCTTAACATTCAGGTCAACTGTTGAGGATGGAAATATAATAAAAAAATAAAAGCTTATTTCCATTGTGGTTATTTCCAATGAATGGTAAATGGTCCTGATTGATTCACCATTCATTTCTGTACCACAAGCTTCAGTTGCAGTTGCTCAGTCTGCTGTTGAACTTTGTTCAACAGAACTGAAGCCGTGAGCAAAAACTATATTTTTGTCAGTGGAACCTCTGAATGTAAAAAGTGAAGATCTCTTGTTGCTGTATTTTGACAATCTCTCTAAAATAGTTACAGATATTTTGTGAGTGAGACCAAACTGACTCTTCTTTGTGAGATTTTGAGGATGTGTACATGAAGTTAATGCTTTGACCCGACAAAGCTTATTTTGAGAAATCTGAGGCTTATTTTTAATGAGTGGAGAACTGCTGCATCAGCAGGTGGCAGCAAAATCGCCTGATTTAATGTCATATCATGTTGCAGTGTGTGTGGAGATCACTGAGCCCTTTATTCCCCCTCAACAGTAGAATTAAAGAGGTGATGTAGTGCAGCCTCATGCCGGTTAGTCACATATTTCAGCCTCCACGTGGTGCTGATGTGGAGTTGTACTTGTGAGAAGCCTCAGCAGGACGTTCATCACCTTGAAGCAGAATCATAAATCCACCTTTAATGGGTTTTTTTCTTGTAGTTTCACTGACTGATTGTGATGAATGAACCTCTGTCTCTCTGTGTGCAGCTGTGTGAGGACTTGTTTCAGAGAACGGGAGAAAACACAGATCCTGACCTGACCTACTCCGTGGAGGTAAACTCTCTCTGACCTGATTCAAGCCGATTCCTTCAGTGGATGTCGATCAGCTTGAACGCCGCCTCTCTCTTCCGCCTCCAGGTGTCCTACATGGAGATCTACTGCGAGCGGGTCCGGGATCTGTTGAATCCAAAGTCCCAGGGGACTCTGCGGGTTCGAGAGCATCCCATCCTGGGGCCGTACGTGGAGGACCTGTCCAAACTGGCTGTGACCGGATTCACCGACATCCGGGACCTGATGGACGCCGGCAACAAAGCTCGGTCAGTCTTCTTCCTGTGGATACACGCCAAGACGCAGCATCCAGATAAATCCACGTTTTGAATTTAAAACAAAACCAGAAAAGGAAACTGACGGAGATGTTCATGTGCTGTTGCTGGAACAATGTGGACGAGGATTACTTTCATTATCGATCCACCTTTTGTCCAATCAAGATATTCAGTTTACGGCCACAGAAGAATTAACAAAAGCAGGAGAAGGAGCCAGTGAATTTTTGTTTTAAAATTACTTTTAACCACTTTTCAAAGAATTTTGTCGAGCGACTGATCGATCAGTTAATTGTTTAACTTACTACAGTTGACTTAAAATGTAAATGCTGTGCCTGTGAAATGTTGTGAATGAGTTACAGTAAAAGTTGAAGTGCGCTGAAAGGTCTGCGGTGACATATGAAGTATAAGAGATGAGGTGCTTGATGGAGGAGCTGAAAGAATCCGGGTATTTCACCACCTTGGACTCGGCCGTCAGAACCTTTCCCAGCTGAAAGCTCTGGAAGTTGAAGTGATGAAGACAGTTGAAGTGTCAGTTGGTTATCTGAGTGTGAGATTTGCCACTTCAGTAATCACTTAAGTAAAGTTGGTGACCAAAATTCAAACAGCGACAACAAGTTTTTTGGTAGATGCTGAAAGGCATTCTGGGAAATGTAGGAAACCCCATAAATATGAGCTGTGAATCCTGAATTTGCTCTAATGGGAAACTTCTTTCTTTCTCCACAGCACCAAATTCAAAACCTGGTCTTTGGAGTTGTTGAAAGGTATTTTAGAAACTGTAGTTAATCTGTTGTCATGGTAACAAACCAAAACTCAGACTGACAGAAACTCGGTTGCAGATACTTTTTTACGGCGTTTCACCTCTGATCCAAGAGGCTTCTTCAGTTCTGACTGACTGGTGGGGAAACCCAGGTGTTTAACCTCTGTGGGGTCGTTATCAAAGCCGCTGATGTCACTTGGTTCGTTAGCGCTCCCGGCTGTTGTAGCGACAGCCGTCCTTCTCACCTGAGTGTGAACGGTTGTTGGGAAAAGATCAAAGGACAGAGTTGTAGGTGGAAGATAAGTGGTGTCGTAGATCTTCAGAGCTGTGTGCACTAACACAACTCAGACCAGTCTGAATTGTCAGCGATTAATTATTTATACCTGACTGGTTATTGATTACAGGACGGTCGCGGCCACAAACATGAACGAGACGTCGTCCAGGTCACACGCTGTCTTCACCATCGTCTTCACCCAAAAACGACGAGACCAGATGACCAGCCTGGACACTGAGAAGGTGTGTGTGTGTGTGTGTGTGTGTGTGTGTGTGTGTGTGTGTGTGTGTGTGTTTAGTCCTTGTGAGGACTCTGTCTTTATGACACCTGTGAGGACCCAGTTACCTCATTATACTTGTGAGGGTCTGGTGTCCTCATATCGCAGTAATCAGGATTTTTAAAGATGAAACTCGAACTTTCTCTCCAGGTCAGTAAGATCAGTCTGGTCGACCTGGCTGGAAGCGAGCGAGCTGACTCGTCGGGGGCAAAGGGCACCAGGCTCAAGGTCAGAGGTCATGTGTCAAGTGTCGTGCCGACGTGGGCTGAACTAAAATCTATGATTTCTAAGTAAAATTAACTATTAACTATATATTTTTGTACAGGAAGGAGCAAACATCAACAAATCTCTGACCACGTTGGGAAAAGTGATTTCAGCTCTGGCTGAAATGGTGGGTCAACACACGCTTGATGTTTATCCTCAGGTTAAATATATAAATTCACGTTTGAAGTGAAAAATGACAGTTTCTCTTCTCTCCTCTGCAGCAGAGCAGTAAGAAGAGGAAAAGTGATTTTATTCCCTACAGAGACTCAGTCCTCACCTGGCTACTGAAGGAAAACCTGGGTAAGTTTAACTGGTACTAGTTGTACTGCAGTAAAAATATCACACACAACTGGTTGTGTTGAAACTAAAAGTACCAGGAGTAAAGTATTAAGTTAAGTATTAAAGGGTTAGCAGTAAAGTGATAAATAAAGTATATATCTATCTAGTTCCAGTTGTTGTAAAACCAACAAGTAAATAACAATAAAGTTTTGATGTATGTTTGTTTCAGGAGGAAACTCTCGGACGGCCATGATTGCTGCTCTAAGTCCTGCTGACATCAACTATGAAGAAACACTGAGCACTCTAAGGTCAGATGTTGATGTGTGTGATCTGATGTGTGAAGCAAATGTCATTCAGTGTTATCTAGTCTAATGCAATCTGTGTTATTCAGGGACGAAGGCCGTCAGACAGATCAATCACAGGGCTGAGATATACCCACTTTAATCTAACTTAACCTGGTGTCATGTGATTCCAGGTATGCTGACCGCGCCAAACAGATTCGTTGTAACGCTGTGATCAATGAAGATCCAAACGCCAAACTGATCAGAGAGCTGAAGGCTGAAGTGGAACGATTGAGAAACCTGCTGTTCTCTCAGGGTCTGCAGGAACTGCTGGATAATGCTGGTATATATATATTATATAGTATACACTATAGGTATATACATTATATAGTATACACTATACTGGTATATACATTATATAGTATACACTATACTGGTATATACATATGATATGAAATATAATATACAACACTGGTATTTTGTCATATGGTATACACACTCTAATAAATAGTACTACTGGTGTGTTCACATACTTGTACACACAACCTTACTATACAGTACATATATAACAATTAATAACTTATACACAGTATATTGTATAGATTACATTGGTACATACACATAATAAGAAATACATCTTAGTGGTACACACATCATATTGTCTATAGTCTGTGTGTTTATTTAAACATGGTATGTAAGGCATGTCTGTGTGTCGGGTATTTACAGACAACAGCAACTGTGTGTGTGTGTGTGTGTGTGTGTGTGTGTGTGTGTGTGCGTGTGCGTGTGTGTGTGTGTGTTGGGGGTGGGGTAAGCAGATATTTACAAGCTGTTCTTTACATAACCAGGATAGCAGAGATTCCTTCCTCTTAAAAATGAAACCTGACTCTGTTGCTTCTCTGTCTCTCTCTCTGTCTTTCTGTGACTCTCAAAAAGTCAACAACAACAACAATGGCCCCGTTGGCATCGCAGGTGTGGCCCCCTCCCCGCTGCAGCTGGCACTCAATGCAGCCAATGGACTCGCACCTAAGAATGGCTCCGCCCCTCCAGGTGACTGACCGCTCTCTCTCTTTTCCACCTTAAAAACAAAATCCTCTCAGTGATCAATAAATAACCTTTCAGTTTCCCTCTGCAGCTGCAGGTGAGCCTGCGTCTGCAGGTGACGTCCCAGCTGACCCCGACCACCTGATCGAGGATGGAGAGGAAGGAGAGGAGGCGGTTGCCACGGAGCCCATCAGTAAAGAGGAAGCAGCTGAGAGACTGCTGGTAGGATCAGAGTCAGATACTACTGACGTTTCCAAACTGAGGCAGCTGTCAGACTTCCTGGACTGACCCCCGTGTGTGTGTGTGTGTGTGTGTGTGTGTGTTGTAGGAGACAGAGAAGATCATCGCTGAGCTTAACGAGACGTGGGAAGAGAAACTAAGAAAGACAGAATCTATTCGTCTGGAGAGGTAACATCACTGACTTCGGTTCCTTTCTTCTGTGACTCCACTCAGAAAACAGTGAGCCAATCAGAAGAGAGGCTCAGAGCCTCCTCTCTTGTACAGAATGAACTGACCAATCAGAACTGAGTATTTGACACGACAAACGCAACGAGGGAGAAGAAAGAGTCGGACATGATGACTGATCTCTCTCTCTCTCTCTCTGTTTGTGTCGGTGTCTCTCGCCCTCAGAGAGGCCCTGCTGGCAGAAATGGGCGTGTCCATTAAAGAAGATGGAGGAACGCTGGGCGTCTTCTCTCCTAAAGGAGTGAGTTCACACGTGCTTCTGTCTCAGGGTGACATTATAAGTCACGCTGTTTGTTTCCTGTTGTGGCGTCTACAACCTGCTGGTGTCGGCGTGGTGACAGCTGGTCGTCGTCTGTCGTGACGGTCGAGTGAAGTCGTCCGAGGTTTTCTTTCTGTTTGAGCCGAACAAAGATCTGAAGCTTCACAGCGACACCTGGTGCTTTTATTCTGGTTCCTGCAGCTGGAGCTTAAAATCATTAATGTGTGTGTGTGTGTGTGTGTGTGTGTGTGTGTGTGTGTGTGTGCGCGCTGCAGACACCTCACCTGGTCAACCTGAATGAAGACCCTCTGATGTCAGAGTGTCTCCTCTACTACATCAAGGAAGGATTCACCAGGTCAGACATCAGTTCATAATTTAATGACACTTTATTGATTAATTCATTAATTATTCTCTTGATTAATTAATGAAACAGCTGTGAAAAGAGTTTTATTGTTTCCACGCAGAAGCTGAAATAATGATAATAACTTTATTTATTTAGCACTTTTCTCTACAAAGTAGTAAAAGTAGATAAAAGAAAAGTCCCTGAGCAAAATAAAAAGAGTAGAACAGCATAAACTTAACATTGTGCAAAATGATCCGACAGTAAAAGGCAATAAAATATATAAAATCAACATGAATAAAACCACTAAAGGCTGAGCCTCAACTTAACATCAATCTGGGAGCCGATGAAGGGAGGCGAGCGCCGGAGTCATGTGACTGAAGCTGATGTCTGTCTGTTTCAGGGTTGGACAGCAGGACGTCGACATTAAACTGTCTGGACACTTTATAAAGGAGATTCACTGCGTCTTTGTCAGTGAGACCAATGACCAGGGAGAAGGTGAGACACCTGTCTGTGTGTGTGTGTGTGTGTGTGTGTGTGTGTGTGTGTGTGTGTGTGTGTGTGTGCGGGTGCAGATCGCCCTCTGGTGGTCAAACTGAAGCAGCTGCACCTCAGAAATCTGAAGTTCAGTTAAAGCTGCAGAAACACACTCAGTGTTTTCATTATTGAATTTATGCTTCTACATTTAATGTTAAAAGTGTCGTCTTCAATTTAAGCCACTAACCGCAGTCTTGTGATGGTTACAGAGGTGTGTGTGTGTGTGTGTGTGTGTGTGTGTGTGTGTGTGTGTGTGTGTGTGTGTGTGTGTGTGTGTGTGTGTGTGTGTGTGTGTGTTCAGTGAGTGACTCTCTTTCTTTTTCTCTCTCTGTAAAAGCTGCCAGGAAATCTGTCAGGTATTGTTTTTAACAGTCACTGATAACCAGTTACCATGGTGACGTCACCTTCATATTCACCCCCATGTTTCCTGTGCCCCCCCCCCCGCTGTGTGTGTCTGACTGTAACATCACCTGAGCCTCGTTGAGCTGTCACACGTTAAATGGAGGTTTTCTTGTACTGACTTGTGTCCCTGCAGTGGTCGTCACTCTGGAGCCGTTGGTCGGAGCAGAGACGTACGTGAACGGGAAGCAGATCACTGATGCCGTCGTCCTCAAACAAGGTAACAACAACCCGAGGGATTCGAACCAATGACTTGTACACAACAAGCAAAAATGATTCACTCTTTATTCCTCCTATTCATCTTGTTTTCAGGTTGTCCGTCCCTCTCATTCTCATGGACATGATATGTAGTAATATAATAGACCTTGTTAGATCTTCTTCATCAGTTCATCCTTGAGTCCGAGCGAATGTTTGAGCCAAATTTGAAGAAGTTCCTTCGAGGCGTTACTGAGGCGGACGTACAGCCTGAAAACAATATGGCTGCCGCTCTGGCTGGCAGTTGTCAATGAATTATTTTTAATCTCGCTCTCGCTCCCTACTCCGTCCCATCTCCCGTCGCCAGGTAACCGCATCGTGATGGGGAAGAACCACGTGTTTCGGTTCAACCACCCGGAGCAGGCGAGGCTGGAGAGGGAGCGCAGCGTCACGGCCGATCAGCAGGCGGAGCCGGAGGACTGGAACTACGCTCAGAGGGAGCTGCTGGAGAAACAAGGCATCGACATCAAACTGGAGATGGAGAAGAGGTAGAGAGCAGGAGACCGGGCATCAGTCCAGGGGCAGATTTAAAGACCGCTAACACTGTGTCAGCCAGTTACAAGCTAACAAACAACATAAACAAATAAAAGATGCTAACTATGCTAACCTCACGTCTGGAGGAACTTTAATAATCTGAAAAACTGAAAACCTGAATGTGTTTGAGGCTTGGACAGAGCAACACGTGTAATTCAGTCATTTCTAACATTTTATAGAAGAATGAAAAGAGACGTTTCTTCAGTTTAAAGACGACAGGAACGTTAGAAATCAGGGCTGTTTCCACTGACTGTGTTACAGACTGCAGGACATGGAGACTCAGTACCGTAAAGAGAAGGAGGAGGCTGATCTGCTGCTGGAGCAACACAGACTGGTAGGTTTCTGTTAGCTTAGCTTATGTGGAAGCTAACGGTGAGTGTACAGTGTTAAATCTGTGTGTGTGTGTGTGTGTGTGTGTGTGTGTGTGTGTGTGTTCAGTATGCCGACAGTGACAGTGGCGACGACTCAGACAAACGCTCCTGTGAGGAGAGCTGGAGGCTGATTTCCTCCCTGAGAGAGAAGCTACCTGCCAACAAGGTACAACACACCTGTGTTGTCTGCTTGAATAATCACTTCCTATCAAAAGGCCCGTTAAAAAAGTGTCGTTATTATATCGCAAGATGAGGCTGAGATATCTTTATGTCTCAGTGTTCTCAGACATATTTACAGCCTTGCTTTCTGACACCTGTCTCCACCTCACCTGTCTCTGTCTCCAGGTGCAGTCGATAGTGAAGCGCTGTGGTCTGCCCAGCAGTGGGAAGAGGAGGGAGCCTCTCAGAGTCTATCAGATCCCTCAGAGGAGGAGGATCAGCAAAGACCCCAAACGGGTCACCATGGAAGACCTCCGCATGCAGGCGGTGAAAGAGATCTGCTACGAGGTCTCACACACACACACACACACACACACACACACTCTCTCTCACACACACACACACACACTCTCTCTCACACACACACACACACACTCTCTCTCACACACACACACACACACTCTCTCTCACACACACACACACACACTCTCTCTCACACACACACACACACACTCTCTCTCACACACACACACACACACTCTCTCTCACACACACACACACACACTCTCTCTCACACACACACACACACACTCTCTCTCACACACACACACACACACTCTCTCTCACACACACACACACACACTCTCTCTCACACACACACACACACACTCTCTCTCACACACACACACACACACTCTCTCTCACACACACACACACACACACATACGTTCAAATTTAAAGGAATAGTTCAACATTTTGGGAAATATTTTCAGAGTGAGACGTCCACATAGGGGGAAACTGCTAGGTTAGCGTAGCTTAGCATAAAGACTGGAAACAGAGGGAAACTGCTAGCTTGGCTCTCTCATCGCTCACAGATGACCTCATTGAATAAAGTTTTTAAACGTGTTCTCCTCCTTGTGCCCCCCCCCCCCNCCCCCCCCCCCCCCCCCCAGGTGGCCCTGGGAGATTTCCGTCACTCCCGTCAGGAGATCGAGGCGCTGTCCATCGTCAAGATGAAGGAACTCTGCCGCATGTACGCCAAGAAGGACGCCAACGAGAAGGAGAGCTGGAGGGCCGTGGCCCAGGACGTCTGTGACACCGTGGGAATCGGAGAAGAGAGGAGCCCCCCCGCGGAGGAGGGAGTAGGAGGCGGAGGAGGAGGAGGAGGAGGAGGAGGAGGAGGTGGCGGCGGTGGTGTTGGTGGCGGTGGTGGCGTTGGTGGCGGAGGAGGAGGAGGAGAGACGGGGGAGGGAGGACAGAAAGGAAAAGTTTATGACCTGAAGGCTCACATCGATAAACTGACAGACATTTTGGAGGTGAGTGAACGGTGGAAAACTGCTAGCTTATCTTAGCTTAGCATAGAGAAGAGGAAAATACGGAGCATTAAATTAGTTTTTTTTTTTTTTAAAACAATGATCAGCCGATTCTTCCATCAGTCGATCACCAGGAAAATAACTGTTTTGACAATCAGTTGTTTCAGGTGAGACTCATCATGTCGCAGTGAACTGATCGTCTTGGTTTGAAGCTGTTACAAGCTTCTTTTTAAATAATGCAGATTAATCAATAATGTAATTATTAGATATTTAATTAAATAGTGAGGTAGTAATTAAAACCTGGTTGTTGTTGGTATCTGTTGTCACTGACTGTTGTCTCCGCCTCTTCCAGGAAGTGAAGCTGCAGAACAACATGAAGGACGAGGAGATCAAAGCTCTGAGAGACAGAATGATCAAGATGGAGAGCATCATACCTGTTCAGGTGCGTTCGCTCGTCACTTCCTGCTCCATCAGCTGCTCGTCAGTCAGCAGCTGCTCAGTGACTCCCCTCTTTTTTCCCTTGTTTCCAGGACGACGACTTAAACGGCGAAGGAGACGGGTCTCCTCAGAGAGACGGGGGCATGGGCTGCAGCGATGGCGGGGGTGTCGGCCCCGACCTGCCAGAGGTCAGAGTTCAGCGACTGATGGACGAGGACCCGGCGTTCAGGAGAGGACGCCTCCGCTGGCTGAAACAGGAACAGCAGCGAATCCTGAACCTGCAGCAGCAGAACATCACCAAGAAACTACGAGGACAGAACCAGAGCCCAGGTAAGCCCCGCCCACCCCACACACACACACACACACACACACACACACACACACACACACACCTGCAACCAAACATTAACCTCTTTGCCCCTCCCCCTCCTGCAGGTCTGAACACCCCCATCGTCCCCATCCACCTCCCGGGGACCGGCCGCTTCATCCCTCCCCAGGAATGCAAGCTCAAGTTCCCCTTTAAGAGTAACCCCGCCCATCGGTTGTCATGGGGACCAGCCAGCGCCGCTCTGCAGGCCCTGGGTTTTGGGGAGGGAGGAGAAGGGGGGGAGCAGAGGGAGGAGGGAGGATCTGAGGGTAAAGGTTCTCCCTCACCTCCTCCTCCTCAGGGCCAGTCTCCTGCTCTCTTGCCCCTCCCCTTCCAAGTGCCGCCACCGCCTCGCATGCGCACCCCCAGCCCTCACCGCGCTTGGCAACAACGTAACCAAGGCAACCAGGGTAACCAGGGCGGCTTCCATTACCATCACCAGGGCAACAACCAAAACCACCAGCGCCGCTACCGCCGCAACTCTCTGGACAGCTCCACCCATGGCAACATTAACTACGACAACAACCAGCATCACAGCGGTGGCGGGGGCGGCGGTCACCAGGGGCGACCGAGACAGAGGAGGGGGGTGTCACCTGGGCCTGGGGGGGAGAGAGGAGGAGGGAGAGGAGGAGGAGGAGGAGGAGGAGGAGGAGGGAGAGACAGAGATGGAGGCTTCCATTATAATCAACGCCAGCACCATCAGTACCACCATCATCCCTACTACAACCCCCACAATGCACCATTCCAGCCAGGACCTCACCCCAACTACCACAGCCTGCCACGCTCCGGGGCCCCGCCTCCTCCTGCTGACATGCTGCTGGGGGCGGGGCCGCCTCCAGGGGGGTGGGGCTTCACCACCCCTCCCAGGATGAGACGACAGTTCAGCGCACCGGACCTCAAAAACAACAAGGAGACCCCCATCTGACCTCTGACCCCTGGAGGTCTCTGATTGGCTGCAGGACACAGGGTGGTCCTGATGCTGTAGCAAATAAGGAGGGAGTGTGTGAGTGTGTGTGTGAGTGTGTGTGTGTGTGTGTGTGAGTGAGTGTGTGTGTATTTGTGTTGCAGCACTTTTACTATACTGAGTCGGCCCGTCACACACCAACTAACATCACACACATCCTGTTTCTTCAATCCTGCTGTGTGTGTGTGTGTGTGTGTGTGTGTGGGTGTGTGTGTTAGCTTCCGTTTAGCTTTTACGTTAGCACGGGTTAGCTGTTGCCACAGCAACACTGTTTTTAGGGAAAAGTGGATTATTGTGTCTTTTGCTGTCAGACGAGATGGAAGTTTATTACATGATGATTTAGTTTTATTGATTTTATTGATCGGTGATATTGATTGACGTTGTGGTCTCGATCAGTTGTTTATAATACGGTGCCTTAAAGCTGACGTGTTAGCTCCCGTTAGCTGTTAGCTCCTGTTGTTTTGTTGTTGTTTTTTTAAAGATGGAGTGCGTTGGTTTGATTTCCTGGGCAGGGTGTGTGTTTGTACGTACATGGACTTGAGTTTTAGCTCGTCTGTTTTAGCCACTGTTAGCCCGGGAGGCTAACTAGCATGCTTCAGCCTGAGACGTCTTTGTTAGCTTTGGCTAGTCAGTTAGCCCAAGCAGGGAGCAAGGGGTGGCTGTTTAGCTTTTCAGGCTAATAGCTTATGTGGTGAGGTGCTACACAAGCACCCAAGTTTAGCTTAGCCTAGCCTAGCCAAGGCTGCGCTCATGTCATATGAGAGTTCCAGTCAGTACGACTTTGACTTTAACACCTTGAACACACCACTTGTCACACATCGAGACGATTTGCTTCGAAGCTCGTATTTACTGCCTCTCCCATGTGACCTGAGCGCCGCAACGCCGAGTGCTACGAACCAAAGAAAGCTGCTCTGTGGCGCCTCCTGCTGGAGAGCAGAGAGCTGACGGACAACACTGCTGTACAGACAGAGAGACGGAGGGAGGGAGGAACTCCTCGTCTGTTCCAGAGCAGGAGGAGGAGGAGGAGGAGGAGGAGGAGGAGGAGGAGGAGGTGCTGTGGTGTAAATGTTGATAAGACAGACTCGCACGTTGAATCTTTTTAAAGCGTTGTGTGTGTATATTTGAATTGTATCCTGACGTATTTGTTTTTATGAAGATGAATCTATTTTTAAAAAAAAGGCTGCGACACATGAAACATGCTCGCGGTGAGTTCACTGTCTCTGGCAATCGTGGGAAATGTAGTAAGTGAAACCTGACATGCGTGCGATGCATCAATGGGAGATGTAGGAATCATGAGACGTGATGGATTGTAGTTTACGTAGGGCTGTATAAGCAAGGAACTCTGGGAAATGTAGTAAGAGAAAGAGACGGTGCAGAAGACGGAAGATGAGACACAATAAGCTTTGTTTTTCAAATAGTAAGAGACGCTACGACCTGTTCTGTGTGACGTTCAAGTACTCCTCCGACACTACGTAGTCTTTAATGTCCACTTCAAGAAGGGACGAGGAATCTGCTGCCTTCATGAGACGTCGGGAAGATGGAAACTGCGGCTTTTTCCCATTTGAGTCATATGATGTTGCGTTTTCTGTCACTTTAAAGAGCTTTAACACAGATGTTTTCTTTTTTTAATGCTGTAAATATTGATCTTCTCATTGCCAATTAATCAATTAGTCCAGAGCATCAATTCCTGACTGATCGATTATCAGTTTTGTTTTTGCTGTTGTGTTCACTGCACCTCTGAAATACAGGACATTGTAATTACAGCAGACCTGCCACAAACTTCCAGCTTCCCACGTCTAAGTGAACGCAGCAGCCGCGGTGTGTTTGATGTTCCCTGAGTGACGACATGTAACCGTCAGGAGGAGCCTAAAACCCTGCCCACACAGAGCAGGGCATTGTGGGAGATGACGAGTGGAGCGTTTTGGTGCTCCGTGACTTTAAGACCTTTTCACATTAAAAAAAAAAAAAGGTCAAACCAACCAATGGGAGCGCTCCCTCTGGCCGCTCAGCCAGTCAGGAGAGGAGTCGCCACGATGACGACGACAAAAACACAAGGACTGATTGTGATTGGCCTGAGAAGCGTGACATCAGCAGAATTTGATTTCCATCGTTTGCTCTGGTGTCTCGACCAATCACGGGACAATCTTGATTACCTGCTGCCACTGCCGGGCCTGATGGGAAATGATGTTTCCTTTTCGTTTATGGTTTTTCATTTTTCTGATTTTTATTTTTTTTTTCATTCTCCGGCTTCGGCCTCTGATTGGCTGTTTTTTTTTTTTCTTCATGTATTCATTTGCTTCCTGTCCTGAGTATTTTAACCCCGCTACATGTTCAACTTTTGCTTTATGATGTCATCACGCCATCATCACTATTATTAATATAATTATTATAAAGTTATACGTGTCATTAATATTGGGTTGTTGTGGATGCTGCTAAAGGGAGCTTCTTCACCCTCATGCAACCGCCTGAGTGTGTTCATGTGTGTGTGTTCATGTGTGTTGGATGTGTGTGTGTGTGTGTGTGTGTGTGTTTCCTGGTTAATTTAGAATCATAATCTAAAGTTTGTTTTACTTCATAAAGCTGATTTTATTATTTTTCTCTAATTGTCTGTTTACGTTTGTTGTTTTGGAGGTTAGAGGAGGAGGAGGGGCCTCGGGTGGGGGGTGGGGGCATTGCCATAGCAACTCGACTCAGCAGAATTCCAGAACATTCTAGAACTCCCCGCCCACTCCCTACACCTCTGCTCCAATCACAATGTCGGACTCTGACGTCACTTCAGGACTGTGGAACACAGATACGGACACGATGACATCACGGTCTAACCCTCCTCCTATTGGCTCAGAGCCCCTCAGTGGTTGTTGTCTGTGTTGAGATGTTGTGTCTGTTGTTGTTTGTGTTGTATCAGGAACCAATCTCAGGCTCTCCCTGCAGACAACATGAGGCAATAAACTGTCAGTGAGGACGAAACGAAACTCGACTTCACGCCTGATTCACTGATTCCCTCCACAGAAGTCCCACAGTACGGAATCTGAGAGGGCTCAAAGCTCACACTCCAACAACAAGTACCCGGGGCCGCGGGCACAAAACACCCCAAGATTTCCACTGAAGGTTGAATTTCTCCTTAGCTGAGGGAGTAGCACAGAATCTCTTCAGAAATCTCTCTAAAGGTTTCCTTAGTTTAAGAAATAAAGCTAAGTGATTTACAGCAGTGAAAGAGATTTTACAACAGTAAAGTTCTACTGTTTCCGTGGAAACCGTTACCGACATTATAGGAGTGCTCTGCTCTCTCATCCTCTTATTGTTTTGGCGAGAACTTCACTTAACGGAAACCTCAAGGAGAAGACTAAAGGGTGTTTCGTGCAACTGTTTTTAGTCGAAGGAAATCTTAACTTAAGGTGTTTTGTGCAGCCGGCCCCTGAACCTTTACCTTTTGCCAATACAAGTAAAAGTTTTATCCACTAAATGCTCTTAAAGTTTTCAGAATAAAAGCTTCAGCAGCAGTTTGTTGTCGTAGCTGCTGCAGGTGGTTTTAACGACCATCCAGGAATCTCGTCTCAGATCTGAACTGATGACGTCATCACCGCTGAGAATACATGTCCTTAAATCTGCTTAGAAATCATGGAAAAAAGTTTTTTAAGTTTCCTTCAGTGACACGGTGATCCAGTGACAGGTGTCTGAACGTCCATGGCTACACTGCAAACAGGAAGTGATCACTGCTAATTCTGCACACTTTTAATGATGCTCAAATTTATCTCCCATGATGCTTTTTGTCCCACAAAACACACGACGTGTCAGTGTTGACAGGAGTCTCATATCGACACACACAGCTGAACTCTTATCACACTTCCTGCCTCAGTACACACACACACACACACACACACACACACACACACACACACACACACACACACACAGTCCCTGGTATCCTCTTCTATTTCTTGGTTTCTCCTCAGACTGACACACACAGTCTTTCAGGAGCTGAGGGTCTTTTTCACAATGCAGTTCTTCCTCCTCCTCCTCTTCCTCCTGCCTCACGTTGCCACGGTTACAGCGGTGGCCGGTTGCCTCAGCGGCAGGGACAAGGACCACCGGCCGAAGGAGAACTGCACGGCGGCCGGCTTCAGCGACATCCCGGCGGGACTCGAACCCACGACCAAGGTAACCGACAGAGACGACAGACGTCAACAGGAAGTTAAAGTTTGTAAAAATCAAAGTCAGGTCAGTCAGATGTAGAAGAAGAATCTTAACAGCTGATATTTTCTTCAAACAAAGAAAATTAAATTCCTTTTTCAGATCGCATGACAACATCAGGACTGATCCTTTAAATCAATAATTAATATGGAAGCTGAGAGAGGACAATTCATAAATATTTTTTAAAACAAAACTGCTCAAGATCAGGGGAATAAAATAATATTTGTGTAATTTTATCCAACACTGAAATGTACCTTTAGATAACAGACATGCAAAACAAAACCTTATAACCACTAGTGTTGGTAACTTTTTGAAATCGTTAATTTGAACAACAGAAGTTTCTGAAAAACATTATTACGGTTCCCGACTGTTTCAGAGTTAAATGGGATGTATCTGGTTTCTTCACATGAAGCTGTCGTGGCTATAACATAAAACTCACTGGCTGCTGATGCATCATGGGGCAAAATAATTAACTGTCCAAACAAAGCCAATGCTTTTTCTTGTTGATTTATTCATCTACAAAGGATCATGTTTCCTGCTCTGGTAAAAAATAAAAAAAAACATAGGCCCACCCAGGTGCATGCTGGTCCTGAACCAGTCTACCTAAATAACCTCATGCGCCCATAGCGTTAGCCAAAATAAACAAAATACTAGTTAACCAAACTAACTATCTTAGATAAGTAAATAATATAAAGAAAAGAATGAATTACAAAAGAGAATATTGTCAAAAAATAAAAGAAATTAAAGTAATTCAAATTAAAAACAGATGAATAAATAATAAAAGAAAAACCAACAAACAAAGTAAATAGCTCCTACAGAAGCGTTAGGAAATCCTCATGGCTGTAGTCTTTACTGAAGTTCTGTAGTGGATCATTTCTGATTATGTATTTTAGCCTGAAGCATTTTATTTATTTATGTATTTATTCATTTGTTTATTTATTTATTTGGATCCCCGTCAGCCACTACCAAGGTAGCAACTACTCTTCCTGGGCTCCACTCAAATAAACATGACTCCATCATCATCAATGTGAAACTAAAGGAAAATTATTCTTAAAAAAAAAAGGGAAAAATAAAATAAAACAAACAAACAAAAATAAAACTAACAGTAAGGATATAGCAATAACAAGTTCCCAGGCTAAATCTAAACAGTCAGTAAAACATTTTAACAGCTAAGTAACTTGTGATTATGAGTCACTACCTCGACCACAGAAAGAATTAATATTCCTAACAAGAGGAACCTATCTCCGAACACACGCTTCCTGTCATGGCAGTTTAGGAAACGTATTGTTATCTGGGGCGGGCACAGTGTCAAACATACTTACAGGAAATGACCCGGTTAATTCATATCTCTGATATTCACACTTTTAAAACAAGTAAAATGTGAGAAACTTTTCTGAACCCTGATTGGATGAAGTGTTTGACGGACAGGAGGAGACCACAGCGGAGACGCAGGCTGCCTGTTGTAGACTGATAAGACAGGAAACTCCGACAGCTCTAAATGTTTTCTTCTTCTGTGCTCTCTCTTGTTTTTAAGGTTCTGTTGTTTCCCAGGAACCTGTTCTCCAGCCTGTCCTGGTCCTCCTATCAGAGTTATACAGAGATCTATGAGATCGACCTCACGGGCAACAAGGTGTCTGAATCTTATAAAATTAATATCAATACTCAATCAATGAAATTAAAGCCAATTGATCCTCTCATGACTTTTTGTGTGTCCAGGTTCCGGTGGTGACCCCCAGCACCGGCCCCATCCTGCCCACTCTCTCTGTTCTCCGGCTGGGGTCGAACCTTCTGACGTCCCTGTCTGACGCCTCCTTCTCCGCCTGTCCCGCTCTGACCGAACTGTACCTGGAGAGCAACAACATCCGCTCCCTGAGCGACCACACCTTCTCCGGACTCAGCAAACTGGAGGTCAGCATGTTAGCATCTTAGCATGTGTTAGCGTGTAACACAATGAGTTCAAACAAAAATCCTTGAGCGGGAAACAAGGATGCAGATCATGAAGGTAACGTGTAAGGAAGTTAGGACGAAGGGCCACACCGTCTTAGACTGCGAAAGCCAAACCGAAATGAGACCGTCGGGTCCACGAAGAATTTTCGCGGAGCAGTTGCGTCGCAAAGCGTGGATCCTGTCACCTAGCAACTTTGACAGCACGTAACCTTTTTTTCACAAAAATTTGAGGTTTTAAGCTCCTTGGTTTTAACAGTTGTACCGTTACCTGTTGAGCTGAGCTGAAACACAATACTTACATTTCAAAGTGGCTCTCTTTCGGTGTTTGCTTTCATTACCGGCGCGCAATGAATCTTGGGATATGTTGGACCCACCCGTTGGATCCTTCCTGCGTCCCTGAACTGGGACACAGCTGTAGTTAAGGTAGTGGTGAGGCAGAAAACTTTGAAGGTAGCGTGTTAGGGATCTAATATCAGAGCTTGAATCATGACCGAAAATGAGTCCGAATGTCGTGCTGTCACCTTCTAGATCCTGGACCTGTCGTCCAATCATATCAAGGTGCTTCCCCAGCTCATGCTCCACCCCCTTCCAGCCATAGAAACCCTCTACCTGGAGATCAACAAGGTGGGAGAACACACACCGAGCAGGTCTGGAGTATTTTTTAAGGGAAGTCGGTTCAGACTGTACCTCTTCTTGCCTGTAGGTGGCGCAGCTTGGCCCGTATAAAACTGCAGGACATCCCCTTTTCATTTCAGATCAGAGTGATGCCAGATGAATGGTTCAGCGTGAAGGAGGAGGTGCCGTATCTCTACCTCTCGGCCAATCCCTGGGCCTGCTCCTGTTCCCTTAGTTACTTGCATAAATACCTTGGAGACTACGAACTCAACGTCTACGTCCGGGATGGCGTGGTCATCAAGAGCGACGCAGAGAGCGTGGTGAGTACCACAGAGAAAGAGAAAGGTAAAAGCCAACACATCATATTTGGTTTTAAATGGTTCGAGTTCAGCGGTCGACTCTTGAAACTACCCAAACCACAATATGTGTGAAGCTTCACCTTTAGTCTCGTATTTGCTGATTTTTAGTTTCCGGTAATGTCACCATCTGTTACACCTACAGGGTGACATCACAGGGCGTCACAGACCAGCCAATAGGAGACGGACAGTTCAGTCCTTGAACAGCTAGAAACAGTTTGGTTTCCTGAAGACCAAAGCTCGTGTGTTACGACTCTGCTTGTTGCTTTGATGCATATTCACAATGTAAAAATGATTCTTTTTGCTGGGACTTACCTTTCAATGGTTGTTACCTGTTCACAGGTGTGTGACTCTCCACCGGTGCATAAGGGTAAACCTGTTCTAAATCTGGAGGAATCTGATCTGTGTTCAGGTCCAACTGGTGACTTCTACCAGCCACCAATCACTGACGCTGTTACCACATATCCTCCGACACTTCCTCCTACACCTGCGCATACGCTTCCTCCTAAACTTCCTCCAACACTTCCTCCTACACCTGCTGCTCCAACACTTCCTCCGACACCTCCTCCTACACCTGCTCTGACACTTCCTCCTACACTTCCTCCTACACTTCCTCCTACACCTGCTCCAACACTTCCTCCTACACCTGCTCCTACACCTGCTGCTCCAACACTTCCTCTGACACTTCCTCCTACACTTCCTCCAACACTTCCTCCTACACTTCCTCCTACACTTCCTCCTACACCTCCTCCTACACCTGCTGCTCCTATTGCTCCCACAGAAGTTGTGTTACAACTCCAGACCGTGTACCACAGAGTCGTCACCTGGTCCTGGCATCAAACCTTCACCCGTTTCGTTGAATGGTCGGAGGCGGAGACCAGAGCGGACAGGTCATTAGTTCGGTCACATGCTTCAGTTACTCATCCCTCTTTTCCTACCGTTAGACCTTCAACTGAACGTCCCATCGCCGTCCCGGCCGTCGTGTCGACACCAAAACTGATCGATGACGCCGGCGGTTTCCAGCGGCGTGGTAGAAGTAGCGCCGGGACTGCAGGCGTGTTCTGTTTTTGGCTCTTCGCAGCGTATGTGTTGCTGTGCGTGGCGTTGGTGGCGTGCATCGTGGCGACTGTGGCGAAGCTAGCGGTCTGGTACAGGAGGGTGTACAAGCCGCTGAGGGCGGCGATAGCGAGGAGGGGAGGAGGAAGTGAGGGAGTGGGGCTGTTAACATACAGCAGGAGCGGAGGGAAGGAGGTGGTAGGAGGAGGAGGAGTAATGGCGCTGTATCGCTCCGTTCTGTTCATCCACAGAGAGGGAGAGGAAGATGGAGGGAGGGAGCGTGAGGGGGGAGGGGAGGGAGGGAAAGAAAGAGCTGTGGTCACTCTGGAGCCGACAGGAAGAGGAGAGAGAGAAGATGAAGGAGAAAGAGGAGGGAGGGAGGAGAGAGGAGTGTACAGGAAGACGATGTACCGCCTGTTGAGCAAAGAGGAGGAGATAGACGGATGGAGGGATGTGATGGAGGAGTGTCGGGTCTCTGCAGAAGACGGAGGGAGGGGGAGGGGAGGGGAGAAAGATGGAGGGATGGATAAACAGAGGAGTGGAGGAGGAGGAGGAGGAGGAGGAGGAGGAGCAGCCGCTATTTCCAGGAAGCGTTACAGCGTGATTCTGAGGGAGGAGAGGGGTGAGGCGGGGGGAGAGAGGGAGGAGCTGGACTGGGTGGTTGGTGGTTGGGAGGTAAAAAGAGGAGGAGAAGAAGAAGAAGGGGGGGTGGGGGAGGAGCCCAGGAGCAGCTGGGGGGAGTGGCTGGCCCACTACTTACCCAGCATGCCCTGGGGGGTGACCATGCCTCCTGAGGGGGAGGCGGCTCAGTGACGTCTGTTTTTAAAAGTCGATATCTCTGTTTCGTACGAAGCTTTATCGATACATCATTGATTATTGATTTGCGTGCTGCACAGGTACTTCCTGTTAGAAGGGGCGGGGCTAGAGAACCCTGTTGAGCTGTGTCTTATAAATTAAATATGTGCACATATATTACACTCCCGTATGTGATTTTTCTGTTACGTATTTCCTTCAGCTTTTGTCCCTTTTATTGACAAAACCATCATTTATTCACAGACATTTAGAAACAGTTTTAATTCTAATCTGAAAAACGTGTTTCCAGATATGAATTTATATATTTAATGGCAAGTATTTGTGTATTTTTGTATTTGTATTGTGTTTCTCCTTCTGTTGTTTGTGCTGATGACTCACTCCACAATAAACAAGATGATTATTGATGAATGTGTGCCGGTGTTCTGTTTTTAAAAAAGTACATTGTTTGCAGTTGTTTCAGTGACTTCTATGATTTAATGTACGTATGTAATGTAATGTGACGTACTGATGTTTCTTGGTGTCTGTGCCACGTTTCCATTAGTGTGATGTTCTGCAGAAATGAAGCTTTGATCATGACCAACCTGAAAGATCAATTATCCCACCTGACGTCCTGAAGCCAAATGTGATGACTGAAGAGTGCGACAGAAAAGTAACAACCCAATTAATTCAGTGAATACTTTCACTGAATGAATTCTCCAGTAAATCGCACTCTGTCTGTTCTGAATACATGCAGGACAATAACTTGGTCTAATTGAGAGTATTGATTAACAACAGGAGAAATGTAATGACTGAAAATCAAACAAACTGTAAAAGAGAAAGGAAGAAGCTCTGTGGAAGTAACAAAGATTATGAATACATTAGACACATCTACAGGTGTCTGTAAATAATCAACAAAGCACATTTTACTCTGGTGGCGGAACAACATCACTATTAATGAAAGAAATCATGACAAAACATTAAATATTAAAACTATTTCAAATGAATTTTGGATCAAATGACTAAAGAGAAATGTTGAGCTGACTTTATTGGCCACAGCTGTTTCAGCAGATGCTCAATATTAAAGGGGACTGGAGTTTTCTTAATGGTTATGTACTTGTATTTAACACAAACAGCTTCTTCTCATTCAGCACTGAGATGTCCAGGTGCTGGAACACCTTGGCCCTGGGAACGTGAAGGGGTCACCTGAGGTCAGACCACACAGAGGAAGCTTTCCCACGCTGATCGCAGCTGTGCGGTTTCTCTGCAGCTCCGTCCTGTTTCCTCCTGAGTCGTGAAGGAACATTATTTACTCTGGGAGATGACATGGATATGAAGCAATGTGTAAGTCCTGGTCCTTAATCCTTCAAAGTGATTCTCTGTCTAAATCATCTAAAACATGTTTTTATTACAGGTTTCTCCAGGAGCTGCATTCAAACTTTATCGATAGAAATCTTGTGATAGGAGAAACTTCTGCAGGTCGATCTGGACTAACTACACAGGGATCTGCAGGTGAGTTCCTACTGTATCTCCTGGTTTTACTTCTTTATCTCCCTTTGTCTATTTAGTCTCTGTCAGTTTGTTTTTGTTCCAGCCATGTTTCCCCTCCGTCTCCGAGAGCTTCCACTTTGTTTTCCTGAGTTTTACCTGGATTCTAGATTATTCCTTAGTTCTGTTTTGTCCGATCTTAAGTTGGTTTTCTTTATTACATTTCTTTTTTTTCCCACCAAACCTCTTTGGTTCATCTGCATTTGGGTCCTTAGCACTCCTAAACCTGACGCAGTCCGTAACATATGAAGCATTGTGACAGAGGTTTCCAGGTGTTTCACCAAACCATAAAGTTCAGTTTGAACTACAGGTCTCCAGCTCAAAGCTCCGTTGTTGGTGACTGTCATCGATGGCGGAAGTTGCGCTCAAAGGAAGGTAGTCACCATGTGATTTATGTTGCTGTGCAAACAGTCATAAGAGTATCTTATCTTATGTCTGGAGCCAATAGCTGTGGTGTGGAGTGGCACTAAGCCAGTGTTTGCACTTATATCAGTCATGTTGTTGTGCTGATACAGGCGACTGATCTGATCCAAGTGTTTCAGCATCAGATCAGCACAGAGAACAAATCACGTCGACATTAATCACAGACTTTGACAGACGAAAGCTTTCGGTTTAAGATTCATTTCTTTTCTCTCAGTGTAAAAACAGAAGAAGAGAACAAGCACTCAACGTGAAACGAAAAGAGAAAGAGTACAGGTCGACTATTCATCCCTCTGGGATATTACACAGGGGGAACAAACAATGAGGAAGTGTGATGCTATCAGGTTAGCAGGAAAAGGAAATTGTTTTTCTGTGTTCCTTGTTTCAATATGAACATACAACTATTTATTATGAACTGTTCTTATCATCATCACCAATGAGCTAATGGACACATGAAGGCTGAAGTTTCCACCTATGAAACCAGCAGCTTCCCTCTGTCACATCCACATTTTTAAACCAACATTGAAACAACATTTACAGACACTTTTCTCCACAGAGCGGTTGATGGCTGACGCTTCACTCTGATGGAAGGACTGACTTCTGTATCTCCTACAGACTTTGGTGACACCTGAAGCCAGCGCCAGAACACGTCATCCACATCAGTAAGAGATTCAAAGACGAGGCTTCAAGTCTTCAGCCTTTGGGCCGAGTGACGAGTTCACAGAGTGAAGGGCGTCGTAACAGAAAGAGCTGAGTCGGCTCTGAGGACGGAGACGGAAAACACTGTTCGATCTTATAGACAAGATGTCCCGAGACCTGAAGGTGATTCTCCTGAACTGTGATAATGCTAAATATCATTTTCACATTATAAGTCCTGGAGCCTTTTAATCTGAAAAACCCCTGAGGAAGTGTCTGTAGAGAGGTGAGTATGACAAGTTCCCCCGTCTTTATCTGTCTCTTTATTTGTCTCTTTATTCGACTGATGAAAACTTCCAGGTAACGTTCTGATTTTCCAGAGAGACAAAAACCAGTCGTGCGTCTTTGAGTCTTCGTGTATCGATCGAAGAAAAAACAACAGTAGAAAGTTGAGGGATTGTCAGGATGGAGTTCACCTGACTCCCAGCAGCTGCTTTTACTCTGAAATACTGAGTCAGCTTTTGCTTCACGGTGTCACTTTCAGTTTGACTGTGAGAAGAGAAGGAAGAGGAAGACACAGTGTGAATCGCTCCAACAGCATGCAACACTTCTGCTAAAGACAGCTCACACTTCTCAACACTTCACAGGGGGGGGGGGGGGGGGGTTCCACTGACGGTGGTTTC